TTCGGCTGCATGGTACAGTACAGACCCCACACTGCAAGAACCGGAAAGTTTGCTGACCGGGCACGATGGGGCATCCACCTCGGAATCGAAAAGGAATTCAAGGCGTGGATCAAGGCGTGGATCGTGCTGGACTACGCGACACGTGAGATGACGAAATCACGTGACTGCATCTTCTACGAGAAGCTGACTCTGCCCCTTTTCAAGGAGCACCAGGAAGCCGACAAACTGCCAGAGAGGCTCTTCGAGGGCCATCGCAGCTTCGCCACGTCACACGACGAAGCTGACCTGGTAGAAGATACCGCCCCGAGCATTCCCCCTACAAGCCCGCTGGGGACTCCAACATTTGTACCTTTACACCAACCCGATCCCGATGATATAACACGCGAGGCTTATGACTACAACAGTGAGGCGCGCCGATCCCCAGATGCCGAGTTACCACAACCCAACACGTCACAGGACACTCTCCGCCTCGGCAACGACAGTAACGACGACGTCGTCGAAGTTACCAGCTTTCACGACTACGACCGTCTCCACTACGAAAAGACCAACGAAACTGGTCTCCGCGTCATCGGCCTCGCCGTTGCTGTTCGCCACACCTCACATAAGGAACCAACCACTGTCCGCCAAGCCCTGTCCGGCCCCGACAGTGAAAAATGGAGAGCAGCCATGGCCGCCGAAATCGCGTCGCTGAAGAAGCGCGGCACCTGGAAATTGGTCCCTCGGTCATCGGCGAAGGGGAAAAAAATTCTCAGTGGCAAATGGGTCTTTCGCATCAAGACCCTTGCGGACGGCTCGGTCGACAAATACAAGGCGCGGTGGGTGGTCCGGGGATTTGAGCAAACGCACCTGGTGGACTTCACTCTCACCTACGCACCAGTGGGTCGTCACACCTCGGTGCGTATTCTCATCTACATCGCCGCCGTCAAACAGCGACCGCTCCGGCAAATCGACGTCGGAAGCGCCTTCCTGTACGCTCCCGTCGACGCCATCATCTTCGTCGAGCAGCCGCATGCCTTCGAAGAAAACGATGGCGCCGTGTGCCTCCTCCAAAAATCCCTCTACGGAATCAAGCAGGCACCTCGTCTGTGGCAGCAGTATCTCCACTCCGTACTCATCGAGCTCGGCTTCACCCAGCTGCCGCATGACCTCGGAATGTACAGGCAAGAATCGCGCGGAAATGCATCCTCCTCGTCGCCTACGTCGACGACCTCCTCTACACCGACGACGACACGGAGCTACTGGACTAGTTCGAGGCCGACATTAAGGAAAAGCTTGAAGTGACGGTCAACCACAACGTCGCACAGTTCCTGGGCCTCAATATGACTCAGTCCGCCTCCTCCATCCACTTCTCCGCCACAAAATATGCCGAAACACTCGCGAAGCGGTTCGCCATCGCACCAATCAACCTCACCACACCTTATCGCACTCCTCCTCCTAACCACGAGCCAGACACTACGCCGCTCTTTCCCGACAATCATCGCCTCTATCAGCAGCAGCTGGGATGTCTCCTGTTCGCCGCCGTCACGTGCCGGCCCGATCTCTCCTACGTCGCAAGCCAGCTCGCACAGTACCTGAAGCGACCTGAAGGGGAGAATCTACTGGATCTACGCCGAGCACTGCAATACTTCATCTCCACTCCCGACGTCGGTCTCACCTACGAAGCTAACCTCACCGCCACACTGCAGCTCCATGGCTACGTAGACGCTGACCACGCAGGAGATGTTGACAATAGACGCTCCCGCACAGGATTCATTTTTCAACTCCAACCTGCTGGACTCATCTCCTGGAACTCCCAGAAGCAGGAACTCATCGCTCTTTCGTCAGCAGAAGCAGAATTCATCGCAGCCAGCGCAGCTGTTCGCGAAGGACTGTACCTGATGGAGCTCCTGCAAGAGGCGAAAGTGACGATGAACGGGCATTTCACGTTACTCTGCGACAATCAGAGCGCGATAAAGATCGCAAACAAGCCCGGCTTCGTCAACCGCACCAAGCACATCGCCCTTCTCTACTTCTTCATGAAGGATGAAATCGACAAGGGGAGAGTCAAGCTGACGTACTGCCCGACCGGTGACATGGCAGCCGATTTCCTGACGAAGAAACTGCCACGTCAGCAGTACCAGCACTGCGCCAACCGTTGCGGGATCACCAAGAAATCCCACGTGGCCCACCTTCTGGAATGAAGGGGAGTGTTGGAATAACCGAATGTTATATAAACATTCCCGGAGGTATCCCATTGTACCAGTACCGCAATAGCTCATATAGAGCATGCGGAATGTCGAGGGTCACCCGAAGGTCAACCGTCGAGAGAAGTCAACGGTCGTGACCCTTGACCATCCAGTAACCGCGCGACAGTTGTTCGCTGCAACATGGTAACTGTCGAGAATGGCAATGCTCGCGGTTACTGTAGCTATGCAATACAGTTAATAAGGGAATGTACCCCTCAGAGTACATGGCTAGCTAGGACTATTGCTATTAAATCTCCTGTATTCCTATCTTATAGTCATCTTGTTCTCTTTCAACTATTATTCAACAAGGTCACTACAGAGACTTCATTGTCTCCTCTCAGATTTAACATATCGTATCCTATCTACTTGATCCTTTAGTTATATCAGCAGTCTAGTCTGCAGTGGGATACTCAATAGTGAGTATAACCCTTTTAGGGCTTGCTATTTGTATGTACAACTGCTTTCTAGTCAAATCTCTTTTGCCTATTCTCTCTTGCCTAGCTAGCTAAACCCTAACTATGGGTCCTGCGCTCTAGCTACTATTCTGACAAAAATCTCCATCACTGTGAATCTCAAGGCATACAAGGCCATTCGCTTGTCTTCCTAAGCTGCCAGCTTGCCTGCCTAAGCTTCCGTTCAGTTCAAATTTGTGTCAACTCAAAAGGTGGCTGAATGATGCATCATGCACACTGTCGCCTGCCCGTAGTCAGTTTTGGGCACTAGGATTAAATCGTCTCGTTGCAGTAGCCAAAACTGATGTTACACTGCTAAATTCCCCACAAGGTGGTATGAACTAGCAGTACCATATCATTAGGGGTGCTGTATGAGCAAAAAAACAGGATACTGGTTTGGATTGGTGTACACTCAATAAATTGTAAGAATACCGTCGTCTTTTACACCCCACCAGAACCCTAACACTGTACTCCTAAGAGAGACATGTGGTCAACAAAATGAGGGCACTGTCAGAATGTTATTATCTAGCCTGTAGTGGGGTGCTCTATAGCGGGTACAACCCAGTTAGGGTTTGCTATATGTATCCCAACTGCAGCTAGTGAAACCCCTCCTTTGCTCATTTCTCTCTTGCCTAGCTAGGGTTTACCTAGCTATGGCTCCTCGTTCTGCCTATTGTTTCGACATGGTATCAGAGCATTTATGCTCCTGGCATGTGGGTCCACCAACTGCTTCCGCTGCTGTTTCCTGCTGTTTCCTGCCCACCGCGCGCTCCGGGCGCGCGGCTATTTGAGCGCGCGACGGTTTTCTGCCCCGTCGGCCTGCGCGTCGCCCCCCCCCCCCCCCCCCCCCGCTTTCCCCGTCGCGGCGCCCTGGGGAGCCGCGCGCGGCCCCCCGCTGCCCCGTCGCGACACCCTGGGGAGCCGCGCGCGGCCCCTGTTTCCCCCTCGCGGCGCCCTGGGGAGCCGCGCGCGGCCCCCCGCTGCCCCGTCGCGACACCCTGGGGAGCCGCGCGCGGCCCCTGTTTCCCCGTCGCGGCGCCCTGGGGAGCCGCGCGCGGCCCCCCGCTGCCCCGTCGCGGCGCCCTGCAAGGGGAGTCGCGCGCCGCCCCCGGGGACGCGCGCTCCCGTCCCCCTGGACCCGCGCGCCCCTCCCCTGGACCCGCGCGCCGCCCCCGGGGACCTCCGCGCTCGCCCCCGTCGACCCGCGCGCCGTCTCGGTTCACCACGAACGCCGCCCCCGCTGCTGCCCGTGCTCCTGCCTGTGTTAGGGTTTGGCGTCGGCAAGTGTGGGGGTGGCGGTTATGGGGGTGCAAGAGTGTGCGCCGTCCCCTGCTCCTCCTCCTCCTCCGTCTCCCACTGCTGCAGCTGCCGCTGAGGGGGTTGGGTGTGTGGGGAGCCGAAGGAGTGGTGCTAGGGGGGTGACGTGGGAGTGGAGTTAGGGGTTCAGCAGGGGGTGTGTGTCAAGGGTGTGGGTCAGTTGGAGGAGGTTGTGTGGAGGTAGCTGTCGTGTCGCCTGCAGCGCCTGTAGTCCGTCGCCCTTGCTTCGGTAGCCAGTGAGCCTGTTGCACCAGTCGCCAGTGGGTCCGTTGCTCCTGCCGCTCGTCTTAGCCGCGGAGCCAGTCACTCCAGTAGTCCGTCGCCCTTGCTTCGGTAGCCACTGAGTCAGCCGCTCCTGTGCCCGTGCCTCTGCAGCTTCAGTCGTTGCCTCCCATCTTCTCTCCTTCCATAGGTCCTCCTCCTCCTCACTTGCCCGCTGTGATTACCTCTAGCTTTGCTTATTATTGTGAACTCCTGCTATGCTTGCTCATTGTGCTGATTACACCCCACTTTGGCTATGGGGGTGTGTCAAAATGTTATTATCTAGCCTGTAGTGGGGTGCTCTATAGCGGGTACAACCCAGTTAGGGTTTGCTATATGTATCCCAACTGCAGCTAGTGAAACCCCTCATTGGCTCATTTCTCTCTTGCCTAGCTAGGGTTTACCTAGCTATGGCTCCTCGTTCTGCCTAGTGTTTCGACAAGCACAGCCGTGCATGTCAATACTGAGCCATTCGGCATGCACCCTTAATACATATACACTAGCACTGCGCACTACAACAGAAACACAATCCACCATATTAAACAGCACAGCAACCTGCAGAAGAGCAGATCCCACCGGCCTTCTACTCTCTGCCTGCTTGCCTTCCGCATCCTCTAACCCACTGGGCCCCCCACTGCCATGCCACGTACCCACTCAGAGCAACGCACAGCACCACAGCTCAATCTCCCAACCATCCACTGGCCCGCTCCACCACACCACATTCCTCACCACCGCACCGCAAAGCTCACTTCTCCCGTCGTCTCCGCCGCTTCTTCTCCACCTTCCTCAGCCGCTTGCTCACCGCCTCTACCGCTGCCGTGAACCCCACCGGCGCCAGCGGCGGCGCCACAGCCGCTTTAGCCGCTTCCTCGTCCTGCTTCAGCATCACAATCTCCTGCACAATCTGCTGATCCGGGGGGGCTATCCGCGACTCCACCCCCGGAACACCAAGTAAGGGAGTACTGCCATCACTGGCAGCAGCAGAAGCCCTGTCAGCCAGTAGAGCGCGCTCGGCGCGAGCACCTCGGAGAAAATGTAGTAATAATCCGTGGACCAATCCGGGCCGAAATACGAGTACACCCCAAGAAAGAGGTACCAAACCCCGATGCTACCCCAGATGAAGAGGTGCGTAATCCAGGTCCAGTGCTCCGTTATCAGCGCGATCTGGAAATTCACTGCCACGACCACACCCGTCATGAGCGTCGCACTGAGCCCGTTCATCTCAAACATTTTGCCTGAGGATAGAGACGCCTGGGGCAGCACGGCGGCGAGGCAGGACCAGAAGAGCAGCACGGACTGCGCGAAGCCGTAGAAGATCCACATGGCGATGGTGGTCCAGTGGAAAAACACGTTCTTGGGACCCTGCTGGTAGAGGGCTGGGAACTGGAGTGGGGAGGGGAGGGCACAGGAGAGAGTGGCAGGGCACAGAGGGGAATGGGGGGACATGTGGGTGTGAGTACGAGGGGCAGCACAAGGGGGAGGCAGGACCAGAAGAGCAGCACGAAATGGGCGAAGCCGTAGAAGATCCACATGGCGAGGGTGGTCCAGTGGAAAAACACGTTCTTGGGACCCTGCTGGTAGAGTGCCGGGAACTGGTGGGTGGAGGGGGAAGGGGGGCACACGGAGGGAAGGTGGGGGAATAAGTGTGAGTGCAACAGGTTGGAAGGCGGCGAGGCAGGTCCTATTGAAGAGCCACATGGCGATGGTGGTCGAGTGGAAGAAGAGATTCTTTGGGCCCTGCTGCTGGTACAGCGCTGGGAAATGGCAAGACGAGGGGAGGGTGACAGGAGAAAGTGTGGGGACATGTGGGTGTTGAGTGGGACAGGCAGCGTGGCAGCAATGAGGAGAAGAGCAGCATATAAGCCAGCCAGTGCGTAATCCGACATGTCTTGCTCCAGCACGCCGTAGCCAATGACGGGCAGCGGGCATGGGGGGCGAGCAGTCCACATGTGCTCTTATGTTCCCCAAGCACCTTTTACCAAACAGCCCGTACTCACCATAAGCAGCTGTTTATCCGACAAGTCCTGCTCCAGCACGCCGTAGCCGATGACGGGCAGCGAGGTGAAGAAGACGTTGTAGAGCGAGCACGCGCAGCTGTTGTACACGATCTGCCTTCTGAGTCGCCTCTAAGTGGCTGTTTGCCTGACAGGCCCAGCGGTTGTACACCATGCTCCAGCGCACCACAGAGCCCCATACAACCCCACATGCCCTCAACCCGACTTACCATAAGCAATTGCTTGTCGGATAGATCTTGCTCCAAAACACCATAGCCGATGACGGGCAGCGAGGTGAAGAAGACGTTGTAGAGCGAGCAGGCCCAGCTGTTGTACACGATCTGCCCGGAAAACACTGCATATGCGTTGTAGTAGAAGATGGTGAGACCGAACGCCACGTTCTTGTAGAAAAAGTACGTGACCTGTGGGGCATGGGGAGATGAGATGGGACGAGAGGTGGGCTAAGTGAGAGCACTACCATGCGAGCAGGGAGTGCGGAACAACGTTGTAGTAGAAGATGGTCAGGCCGAAGGCCACGTTCTTGTAGAAGAAATAGGTCGGCTGTGGGGCAGCATGCATGGGGAGATGGGGAGGTGCGGGCGATGAGCTGGAGTAAGTGCACTGCTATGGGAGCAGAGACGGCGGAACAAGGTCGCGTTGTAATAGAAGATGGTGAGGCCGAACGACACATTCTTGTAGAAGAAATAGGTCACCAGTGGGACGGTGAGGGGCACGGGAAATGAGGAAATGTAGATGGGGGAGTGGGCGGGGATGAGGCAAATGGGGAGGGAGATGGAGAGATGGGGGGGAGGATGGGACGAGAGCTGAAGCAACTGAGTGCACTAAGGGAGCAGGAGGTGTGCGAAACACGGTCGCGCTTCAAAGCTGCTCATTGAATGGTTGACTACAAAAGGTAAGATGACTTTTGATGAGCAGCTTTGAAGCAGCTTTGAGTCGACTCAACAGGTCATCACACATGAGACAGAGGGTATGGGGGCAACGGATTCAGACAGAAAACGGCAAGAGAACTCATAGGGAAGAGAGAAAGGGATAAGGGAAAGAAGGGGAGTGGGGAGGGGCAGGGCAGGGCAGGGCAGGGCAGGGCAGGGCAGGGCAGGGCAGGGCAGGGCAGGGCAGGGCAGGGCAGGGCAGGGCAGGGCAGGACACTGACAGCGTTGGCAATGCGCTTGTAGCTCCAGTGGCCGTGCACTAGCAGCAGGCGCTCCAGGTACTTGAACTGCGCTATTGCAAAGTCACTCGCCATCACTGCCTGAAGTGGGGGAGGGGAGAGGGGGATGAACAGGGTGAGGGAGGGAGGAGCAGAGGGACGAAAGCCCATAAGCTCCAGTGGCCATGCCGCTCCAGGTACTTGAACTGCGCTATGGCAAAGTCACTCGCCATCACCGCCTGAAAAGGGGAGAGCGGAGGGTGGTGGGGTGGGGAGTGAGGAGGCGGGCGGGCGGGGAGAGGGCAGGGAGGAAGGGAAGGCACGAGCAGCAGCTGCTCCAGGTACTTGAACTGCGCTATGGCAAAGTCACTCGCCATCACCGCCCGTGAGGGGGAGAGGCGAACAAGGGCGGGTGGGGTGAGGAGGGCGACTAGTGGGTGAGTGATTGGTTGGGAGGAGGAGAAGAGGGACAGGAGCAGCAGAAGGGGGGCGGGTGGAATGGGGAATGATGGTTGAAGGGTTCGAAAATATGGATAGCAGAACAGACATACTGGCGTGAATAGCACATCTAACTGCTCGCTCTCACACTCCATCCACGTGATCTATCCTCCTCACTTCACCTCACACCGTCCAACCTCTTTCCCCTCTCAGCTGCTGCCCCTCTCACATCGCTGATCGCTGATTTGCTTCTCCCCTCACCTGCTGCCCTCTCCCTCACCTGTTGCCCCTCCACGCCACTAATCCCAACCCCGATGTCAGCCTCATGAATCATGCCCACATCATTCATCCCTCTCTTCATCGCCCCCCTCTCTCCCTGTTCGCCCACTTTCTCACCCTCTCTCTCACTTGCCCCTGACCCTGGCCCTCACCTGTTGCCCCTCCACGCCACTGATCCCAACACCAATGTCCGCCTCGTGAATCATGCCCACATCGTTCATCCCTCTCCCCTGCTGCCCCCCTCTCTCACCTGTTGCCAACTCCCTCACCCTCTCTCTCATCCGCTCCCCATCTCATCTCCTCCCTCTCACCTGTTGCCCCTCCACGCCGCTGATGCCAACACCGATGTCAGCCTCGTGGATCATGCCCACATCGTTCGCCCCGTCCCCAATGCCCAGCGTCGTGCGCCCCGTGCCGTCCTTCACCAGCCGCGTCACCTGCACGCCACCGCATGAGACAGCACCACATGGCGTGAAGGAGTGGATAAGATTAGACACAGGGGGGACGACCCTGGCATGGGAAACACCATCAGCTTCATTCTTTGCAACACCTTTCCTCCCCTCAACCTCTCCCCTCGCCCCGTTTCCTCACCAGCGCCTTCTGCTTAGGGGACGAGGGGCAGCACACGGCAGAGGCGCACTGCATGGCCAACAACACTGCCACGGCACGACCTGCACCTTGCCTCTGGGCCCTCACCCTCCCGCATAACCGAACCCCCCTGCATGCTCACCAGCGCCTACTGTTTAGAAACTTTTGAGTTGACTCAAAGCTCACCTAAAAATCCACCTCCCCACCCTCCCCCATCACCAACCCCTCTACACGCTCACCAGTGCCTTCTGCTTGGGAGTCACGCGGCAGCACACGACAGAGGCGCACTGCATGGCGGCTCCAATGAGAGCCAGCGACTTGCCGTCTATCACCAGCGCAAATACCCTCGCCAGCCCCTTTGTGTGCTTACCAGCGCCTTTTGCTTGGGGGAGACACGGCAGCACACGACAGACGCGCACTGCATCGCTAAAGCCAGCAGCGATGCTCGCAGCTCCGGCTCCAATGCGAACGCCAGTGACTTGCCGTCTATCACCAGCGCAAACACCCTCGCCGGGCCCTCACCCCTTGTGTGCTTACCAGTGCCTTTTGCTTGGGCGACACGCGGCAGCACACCACGGAGGCGCACTGCATGGCGAGCGCCAGCAAGGCTGCTCTCAGTTCCGGCTCCAGCGCGAATGCCAGCGACTTGCCGTCTATCACCAACGCAAACACCCTCGCCGGCACTTCGTCCCCCTCCTCCCCCTCCTCCCTGTCCTCCTCTCCCCCGTCGCCATTGCCATTGCCATTGCCGGCAGCGCCCCCACCATTAGCATCTGCCCCTACAGCAGGAGCGCCCCCCTCGCGGGCACGGTCAATGAGAGCAGCGCCGTCGTGCAGCAGGCGCTTCACCCTGTCCCTGCACACCTGCAGAGGAGGAGGGAGGGTGGGAAAGTACCAAGGGAAGAAGGGGAAAGGAAGGCGGGTCAGGGAGAGTTGCATCACGGATGGGGAAAGGGAAGGCGGACAGGGGGGGCGACTGGCAGTAGGAGCGCCCCCCTCTCGGGCGCGGTTAATGAGAGCAGCGCCGTCGTGCAGCAGGCGCATCACCCTGTCCCTGCACACCTGTGGGGGGAGAGATGGGCCAGAAGGGCGAGGGTGGGTGGAAGGAGGAAGGGGAAGGAGGAAGGGGGGAGGGGAAAACGGAGGTGAGGCATGGTGTATGAGTGAGGCACCCTCACCACCACTGCTTCCTGTGCCCCCACACAATAGTGATCCCCGGATGGGAGAGGATCGCGGGTGAGAGCACATCACCCCTTGTTACTCACAGCAGCGAGCTTCTCCTTGTCCCTGGTGACCTCCAAGCTTGATGTGTCGCAGCACAGCACCGCACAGCGCAGCACCGCACAGCACCGCACAGCACAGCACCGCACAGCACAGCACAGCACAGCACCGCACCGCACAGCACAGCACAGCACCGCACAGCACAGCACCGCACAGCACCGCACAGCACAGCACAGCACAGCACAGCACAGCACAGCACAGCACAGCACAGCACAGCACAGCACAGCACAGCACAGCACCGCACCGCACCGCACAGCACAGCACAGCACCGCACAGCACCGCACAGCACAGCACAGCACAGCACAGCACAGCACAGCACCGCACCGCACCGCACAGCACAGCACAGCACAGCACAGCACAGCACAGCACAGCACAGCACCGCACAGCACCGCACAGCACCGCACAGCACAGCACCGCACAGCACAGCACAGCACAGCACAGCACCGCACCGCACCGCACCGCACAGCACAGCACAGCACAGCACAGCACAGCACAGCACAGCACAGCACAGCACAGCACAGCACAGCACAGCACAGCACCCATAGAGCACCGCGTGCTGCTCACAGCAGCAAGATTTTCCTTTGTCGCCGGTGTCCTCTAGTGCTATGTGTGACCAGCAAAGCACACCACAGCGCCATGCAGCGCCGCACAACACCCTTGCTACAATACTCATAGCAGCGAGCCTTTCCTTGTCCCCGGTGCACAATGTGAGAGACCAGTGCAGCACAGCACTGCAAACCGCACTACAGCACCACACAGCACATCACAGCCCCCGTTGCTACAACCTATACTCACAGCAGCGAGCTTCTCCTTGTCGCCGGTGTCCTCCAGCTTGCGAGTGTATGATAAACACAGCACCACACAGTACCGCACAGCACCCCTCACTACTCACAGCAGCGAGCTTCTCCTTATCCCCGGTGTCCTCCAGCTTGCGAATGTCAGGCGAGTCAAGAGACACCACAATCTGCTTCATGTCGTCCCGCAGCAACGAGCATGCAAAGCTGGTAACAGGGGAGATGGGAGTGGGGAGTGGGGAGTGGGGGGAAAGTGAGGCAAGGGGAGGAGGTGGAGGGAATGTCAGGCGAGTCAAGAGACACCACTATCTGCTTCAGTCACGTAGGGGACAGGGGACATGGTGTGGGGAGTGGGGAGTGGGGGGGAAGTAAGGCAGGGAGGGAGGAGGAGAAGATGTCAGGCGAGTCGGGCGACACCACAATCTGCTTCATGTCGTCCGCTAGCAGCGAGCACGCAAAGCTGGTTGAACTGGAGGGATAAACAGGGGAGATGGGAGGCGGGAGGGTGAGGCAGGGAAGGGAATGTCAGGCGAGTCAAGTGACACGACTATCTGCTTCATGTTGTCCCGCAGCAGCGAGCATGCGAAGCTGGAAAAAGGGGAGACAGGGGAAGGGGGAGGTGGGATGGGGATGGGAAAAGGAGCACAGTGGAGGGAGGACGGAAGAGTGAGGTCACTCACTGGGGCACGCAGGTGGGCAAGAAGGCAGTGCAGAGAAGGACTGCGTCAACAACAGCATCACGCCCTACCGATAGCCAGTTTCAACTCTTTGACTCCCGTTTCATCTCCATATGGCGCGTGTCATCTCACCCGATGTTAATTAATGGCCGTTTCCAGCTTGTCTCCTGTCAGCACCCACATCTTGATGCCCGCTTGTGCCAGCCAGTCTATCTCCCTTCCACCCCCTTCGACTCCCTGGCACTCGTTTCCATGTCCCTGCTAGCTACCCATGTCACCCCCCTGTAACGCGTGTCATCTCACCCAATGTTGATAGCCGTCTCGAGCTTGTCTCCCGTGAGCACCCATATCTTGATGCCTGCCTGTGCCAGCCGGTCTATGGCCTCCGGTACCTGAAGGGTCAGGAAGGGGGGTGAAAGGGAAGGGGCGAAGAGCGAGGGGGGGGAGCATGGGGAGAGCCAGAAGTGAGCAACAATATATCTTGCCGCCCACCTGCAACAGCATGGCTTCTGGTATCCGAGGGAAGGAAACTGGGAAGGGGATTTTGGGGGAAGGAATGGGGTAGAGGGGGAGAGCACGTGTGAAGCAGGGGGGTAGCAAAAAGTGAGCACTCAGACCTCAATGATCAGGGTGGAGGGTGAGTAAGATGGGGAGTGAGAAAGATAAGGGATGAGTAAGATGGGGGGTGAGTAAGATGAGGGCTGAGTGAGTAACATAAGGGGTGAGTAAGATGGGGGGTGAGTAAGATGGGAGGTGAGTAAGGGGGGAAATGAACAGAGCAGACTGGGGGATGAGCAGAGTGGTGGGGGAGCAAGACGAGGGGGGGGAACAAGGGGGGGAAGGGACAAGCAAAGGGGGATGAGCAGGGTTGTGGTGGGGAGGGATGAGGGGCCAAGGTGGCTAAAGGGAGCGATGCTCCTGTGAGAAGTAAGCACCTCTGTTGAACTTAAGGGGTTCAAGCCAATTCTGTCATATGTGCATCCTTGTGTCCGTATTCATGTGTTGGTCAACCAAAGAGTGGTGATATCACTGGTGGGGTCAACGACTGAGAAGAGCCACGTGTCATATCGTGACTCAAAGCTCACCCACCTCCTTTAGGTGAGCGCCCTTGCTCCGTCAGGGGAACTCATTATCATCCCTAGAGCAATGAGTTCGCCTGACAGAGCAAAAGCACTCACCTAGAGAAGGTGGGTGAGCTTTGAGTTAGGATATGGCACGTGGCTTTCTCAGTCACTAACCCCACCAGTGACATCAGCACTCTTCGGGTGACCAACAGATAAACACGGACACGATGGACGCACATACGACAGAATCTGCTTCCACCCATTAAGTTTAGCAAAGTAACTTATATCCACAGAAGGCTACTTGCTTGCAACACCCTATTGATAGTCCCAAGTGCCTGCAGCCTGAAGGAGGTGGCTGCATGGAGGTGGTTGGGGGAAGGTGGCTCGGGGAGGTTGGGGGAAGGAGGGTGGTTGGGGAAGGTGATTGGGGAGATGGCTGGACGTGTGAAGGGGTGTGGGTGTGGGGGTGTGTGTGTGTGTGGGGGGGTGTATGGGGGTGCGTGGTGGTGTGTGGGGTAGTGCGGGGATGTATGGGTGTGTGTGTGGGAGGTATATTGTGGGGGTGTATCACACCCTTCCGTTTCATTCCCTTCTCCCGTCCCACCCCGTGCCCCTCCCTTCCCGAACCATCTCCCCCTCCTTTCTCCTCCCCCACCCCATCACGCACCCCTTGTTGAAGCTTATCCTCCACAGCAGTCGCCCCCAGCAGTGTCAGCCCCTGCTCAATCTCCTCCGCAGCAGCATCAACCAGCGCCTCCCTCTCCGCACTCAGACTCCTCCTCGCCCCTTCATACCGCTCCAGCCACTCCCCGCACTCCTCCTCACTCAACTCCCTGTACGCCAGCGCCAGCGTCCGCAGCCCTGCCTCTCCGTACCGATGCAAGTGGGCCCGGGTAGCTTCCAAGTGCTGCCGCCCAGTGGGGGCTAGGCGCTCGTATATGACTGAGTCGGCGCCCTTGGTCATGAGGAGGATGCGGTTGGAGGGGTCTCGCACAACCACTGACATGCGCTTGCGGGTCGAGTTGAACTCTATAAGTGCCAGGATCGTATACTCCCTGAGGGGCGATAGGGGTGAGATGACGAGGAGTGTGAATGGGTACAAATGAGCGACCAGTGCCATGAGTGGGGGCCAGCCACTGGTATATGACTGAGTCGGCGCCTTTAGTCATCAAGAGGATGCGGTTGGAGGGGTCTCGGACAACCACTGACATGCGCTTGCGCGTGGAGTTGAATTCTATCAGTGCCAGAATAGTATATTCCCTGTTGAGTGGTGGGGATGGAAGGGGAGTGGGTGGAGTTATGAGTGGGAGCAAGGCGTTCGTATATGACAGAGTAGGTGGCCTTGGTCATCAGGAGGGCGCTGATGAGAGGAGGGATGATGGGGGGCGAGTGGGGGGAAACAGACGTCTATAGATGACAGAGTCGGTGCCCTTGGTTGTGAGGAGGATTTGGTTGGAGGACCCTCGGACAACCACTGACGCGCTTGCATGTGGAGTTGAACTCTATCAGTGCTAGAATTGTGTATTCCCTGTTGGATGGTGGGGAGGGACGATGCGGGGGGCGAGGAAGGGTGAATGGGTGCAATGTGAACTCGATCAGCGCCAGGATGGTCTCCGCTGGGGTGGTGGAGAGGGATGATAGGTCGTATCTTCCCTCCCGGTCGGGCGAGCGGAGAGGGGTGATGAAGGGAGTGATGGTGAGGAGGGGGACGATGAGGGGAGGGATGGTGAGGAGGGGGATGATGAGGGGAGGGATGATGTGGAGGGGGATGATGAGAGATACCATAAGTAGGTGGGGGTTATGACTGGGGATGGGGTGGAATATGATTGAGCTCGATTCTGGCTGTCGCGGTGCACCCTGTGGAAGTGGGGTTGGGGATGTGAGTGGAAGCTGAGTTACGCAGAGGAATGGAGATGTGAGGAAAAGTAAAATTTGACTATATGCAGGCTCGATTGCAATACCCCCTCTGTTGAGGAGGGATTGGAGGGTGTAAGGAATGAGGGACGAGGCAGGAACTGGAGAGGCCAATGAGTGCCTGGGTGGTGTTCTGCCTAGTGTGGGGGCGGCAGTGAGGGCATGCGAGCGGTACAATGCGGGGTTCGCCACATCACTGCCCTCCCTGCTGCTCACACACTTGCCTATTCTATGACCCTCCCAGCCACTCTCACATCTCTCTCTCTCTCCACTGTCCTCTTTCGCTTCGCTCACTCTTCCACTTCCCACTGCCCTCCCCGTTCCCCTCAACTCTCCACGCTACTCCACCTCGTCTCCCCCCCCAACGCTGCTCCCCCTCCCCCCTCACCTGTCGACAGTGCTCTGCCCCGTCTCGTCCGGTTCGCGCACCCAAACGGTCGTCTGCGTGCGCTTGAAGAACGCCACGCCCATCTGCCGCGCCGCCTCCACGAACGCCGCCTCGTCAGGCGACTCGGCCTCGTACTCCACCTGCCCGGAGGCTTCGTCCAACTCGGGAATGACGGTGTGGCACACGGCCAGCACGCGCAGGAACATGCGGATCTCCTCGCGGTGCGGCTCGCGCAGCCACGCGCCGTCCAGCAGCCTATTATCCCGTAGCGCGAACCCCTTAACTCCCGGCTTCGCCGTCCCGCTCGCCGCCGCCTCCGCCGCGGCGCGCTCCTCCTCCTCGTCGTAATCCTCCAGCTCGCTCAGGTCGCGCCCGAGCCGCCGCGCCGTGGCGCGCTCGACCTCGGTAATACCCCGGCCGTACGCGACGCCGGCGATGGAGCACTTGAGAAAATCCATCTGGTTACACGTCAGCGTGCCTGTTTTGTCGCTTAGCACCGTATCCACCTGCCCTAGCTCCTCATTTAAATTGCTCGTGCGCGCGCGCGCCGGCATGTCCGTTTCCGCGAAATACATTTCACGATCGGCGCTGATAAACCACGCCTGAAAAATCTTCACGATCTCGATCGACACATAAAGCGAAATGGGGATGAGGTAACCGTACAGAATAATCGCCGTCAGGCACTGCAGAACGGACGACGCGGCGGGTTTCGCGGGGTCGTAATACGCGTTAGTATCATTCGGCCCCATGTACCACCAGGACGGCATCTGATTCTTCGTGCGTATGCCGAACACGATACTCCCCACGATCGCCATGAGCAGCAGGCACGCGAAGAGGAAATAGATGATCTTATCCATCCGCCGCTCGATCGTGCTGCGCTTCGACGGCGCGGCGGTCGCGTTCATCATGACCTTGCTGTCGTGGCCGGTAAAGATAACCACCCCCACCACCCAAGCCGTGTTGCGCAGCTTCGAGTCGCGCAGCAGCACCTGCGCCGCGGTCAGCGCCGTCGCCTCGCCCTCCCACTCCAAATTCCCAACGAACGTGTACAGACTCGGGTTCGGGTCCTCGCACTTAATCTCCGCCGTGAATTTCGCGAGCGCCTCGGGGTCCTCGAGCGGCAGCGTGCGCTCGAGCGCCTTGCGCAGTTTAAGATTCGTCTCGCCGTCCAGGTTCATTGTTTCGACGTAGCAGACGCCGTCCGGGTAGCTGGAAGCGAGCATTAGGAGGTCGGCCGGGAAGAACTCGTCCTTGAGCACTTTAACTACGTCGCCCACGCGCACCGCCTTCCACTCGCACGGCTCGAACCGCCCCTCGCCCACGTGCCGCAGCACCTTGCGCTTGTTCACCTCGTCGTCCTGGCGGACGGGGGAAGGGGAAGGGGCTTTTAAGGGACCTCAACAGCCGCCCCTCGCCCAAGTGCTGCAGCACCTTGCGCTTGTTCACCTCGTCGTCCTGGCGGACGGGGGAAGGGGAAGGGGCTTTTAAGGGACCTCAACAGCCGCCCCTCGCCCAAGTGCTGCAGCACCTTGCGCTTGTTCACCTCGTCGCCCTGGCGGACGGGTGCGGCGGGGGGGGAAGCGGGGAACGGAAGGGGTGGGTAAGGGGTGAGGGGGAGGGGGGAGGTGGGAAAGGAGGGCGCGGGAAGAAAGTGCAGGTTGAGACGGGGGAGAAGAAAAGGGACGGGGAGAGGGGAACGTGGGGAGGAAGATGGAGGACGAGGGTTGAAGGCCAATTCGGTTCTAACCGCTTTTTGAAACGCCCGCTCCTAGTAATTTTCCTAAGAGGCATCCGTTACAATCACATCTTTGACCGTGACAAGAACCTTTGGCAAGGAAGGAACTTACAGCGAGGTATCGGCGCCAGTCTTCGATGGCCTCTTTGATCATACTGACGCCCACCACCAGCACGAGCGGCGCGATCAGACTGTACGGCGCGTACGGCGTTAGCGGCGTGAGCGCGAGGATGGCGCAGAGCAGGAAGTAAAGATTGGCGACGCGGCGGAATTGCTCAAATAACGCCTTTGGGAGGAAGGACAATATCGAGTACTTTGTAGTGGATATCGAGTTGTTACAATAATGAAGCGGAGTGCCTTTCTCCAGGTGGCGATGCGGTTCGTTGCAGTACACGTGTCGCTGAAAGCCCTTCTCTCCGAGCAGCTCGGTCTCGTCTGCGCGGGGGCGGATGCACCCCGCGTATGAGAGGAGCCGCGAGAGGCGGATGCGCGATTTGGATTTAGACTTCGACGACATGTTGACTAATCGTTACTTTCGTCTAAGGGTATCTAGGAAGAATAATGAACAATTAAGGTATTCTCGATGACAACGGGCGCGGTGCGACTTTATTCCTATGCGGGCTAGTCCGTTCTCCTCCGACCTAATCAAAGCAGCCGCCGCTGGCTACCCTATTCACCACCCTAAAAGCATTTCCTTGGGTGCATTGCACTGCAGGCTGCGTGTAGATCAGACCTAGGTGACCAGAGCCTCACACGGACTCGAGTAACAGCCACATCCATTGACTCTTACAAATATTCCATGACTAATTGCGGCTACATCGAGGCTCCCCAACAACTGGTTTGACGGCAGCGCAGTGTGGCGGGTTGGTCCATCATCTATGCGTGCTCTACCCGACACGTTCCCTGGCGCACTTGCTTGCATAGCGCTTTGGTTGCACTGAAGCGTGGGTACGGGGGCAGAGAGGGGGTGGGGGGGGGGGGGGGGGGGGGGGGGGGGTACACGGAATGCTGTGCAGGGAGATGGCGTAGTGAGGGAGGACCGACTTGCGGTGGAGGGCGGAGAAAATGCTGACGGGCGTGGGGAGGGGAGGGAAGGGAGGTTGGAGAGGCGAGGGGAGAGGGGTGGGAGGAGAGGGGGGAGGGGAATGTGGCGTAGGGCGAATCGGGCATTTTAGACAACCTTGATGAACCTGGATTTTGAACCACAAACGCGGTGCTCAGTGGTTTTGGTTATTTCCAGAACGATTCTTTGCGCTACCAGGGTTTCATGCGGTGGTTGAAATGTGCGTCCCCCTCCAGCGGCTTTGCTACGAGACAAGATGCTGTCACCACTCTGTAACGTTCTGAAACATATTAAAGCTAATCAGAACCACGACTGTAGCGGTGACCTTCGCGGATGGCGCACACATGAGCGGACGATTTGACTGAAAGCGGAGCGCCCTAGAAAAATGCTGGGGGCGCCTTGGGAGCCTCGGGCGCAGATTATTCCCGCCGAAAAACAGTGCTCCGCACACGTCGCCCTGCCTCTGGTTGTGCGCTGCCGCACGGCCGTACAGTACCCGTTCTGTGACGTTGTCAAGCCGGCTTGCAGCGGGGATGTGCTCGAGGTTGTGGCGGGGGCGACCAACTTACCTTCCCCCCAGTCCCAAGACCCTCCCCTAGGAAATGGCGTCGTGCAGAGCACGTGGGAGCCACTGAGTGGCTGCGAAAGTCCACACCGCACGAATTTGTGGCCTTACAAAGCCGCGAGAGACCCTTCACGAAGGGAAACGTGTAACATGTGCAAATTTGATTGTGTAGAAATTTCTTAAAGTTGGTTTCACATTTCATAACACTGCTTTGAAACCAGGGCTGATTTTAAAACCCGAAATCAGCACTAGTTCATCACGCACCGCTTTTTTGCTAACGTCTTAAAAAGGAGTCTTATAACCTGAACGGAGCATTAAGCCTGACTAGAAGAGGGTTGCCTGATAACAGGAGCATGCCCTGAATGAGTTCTCTCAAGTGGTCACAGCAGGCTGTGCTGCGGCTTCCCCTCGTGTCTCTGCAAGGGGCACACCTGGAGCAGCAGCGTTGCCTTGCTCGCTCTGTGAGCACTGTTGGTGCGGCGTGGCGTTGGCTTGAATCCACGCCAGCGTGGCATCGATAGCATTCTGGTCGCAGTAAATCCTGTGAAAACCACACCGGGGAGGGGCGGGGGAGGGGGAAGGACAGCACGGTAAGATGTATGGACGGCTGGCCTGACACTGCCTGCTCGGCGTGGTGCACCATCATGCAAAAGCAAGCAACTGAGCATGCTAGACCAGCCTGACTGGTGGGTGCACCATACATGCAAAAGCAACTGAGCATGCTAGACCAGCCTGACTGGTGGGTGCACCATACATGCAAAAGCAACTGAGCATGCTAGACCAGCCTGACTGGTGGGTGCACCATACATGCAAAAGCAACTGAGCATGCTAGACCAGCCTGACTGGTGGGTGCACCATACATGCAAAAGCAACTGAGCATGCTAGACCAGCCTGACTGGTGGGTGCACCATACATGCAAAAGCAACTGAGCATGCTAGACCAGCCTGACTGGTGGGTGCACCATACATGCAAAAGCAACTGAGCATGCTAGACCAGCCTGACTGGTGGGTGCACCATACATGCAAAAGCAACTGAGCATGCTAGACCAGCCTGACTGGTGGGTGCACCATACATGCAAAAGCAACTGAGCATGCTAGACCAGCCTGACTGGTGGGTGCACCATACATGCAGTGGTGGACAAAGGAGAGCAAGAAAGGAAAGAGGAGAGCAGGCGAACGAAAAATGGAGAGAGCAGGTGAAGACAGAGCAAAGCAGGCACGAGCACGAGAGAGGGCAGAAGATGCAGAGAGCATGCGAGGGTGGGGTGAGAGTGAGTCGTACTCCAGCTGTGCCCGATACCCCTTCAGTGCCCGCTCCTCCTCCTTGCTCTCCCTGCGCTGCTCTCGCCTCACCGCCTTCTCCCACGCCCCTCCACTGCCCCCTCCTTCTCCACCACCACCCTGCCCCCCTTCCCTCTCTGCCCCAAATCGCCCCTCCCCACCCCCCTGCTCCTCCCCATTCTCCTGCCCTTCCCCACCCGCATGCCCCTCCCCACCTGCCTGCCCCTCCGCACCTGCCGACCCATCAAAGTCCCGCAGCACCATCCCCACGAGCTCGTCCTGGGCGGGCAGGGGGAAGGGGGAACATGGAGGCAGGGGGGAGGGGGAACATGGAGGGCAGGGGGGAGGGGGGACATGGAGGGCAGGGGGGAGGGGGAGCATGGAGGGCAGGGGGGAGGGGAACATGAAGGTGGAAAAACGAATACGGTTTCGAATACGGTTTTTATACGAGTATTTTACGAATAGTAGGCAATTTCGTATTTGGCCGAATAGCCCTCTTCTACCGAATCCGAATACGGTTCAAATAGCTGGCTCACGAATACTGTTCGAATGCCTGGATCTGTGTCAAATACGAATACGAATGCGGTTTTTACCATACACAGAACCTTGGGTCAGGGTTCTTAATAGGCCGTAAGCACCGCCGGTGCTTCCATTGCTGATGATATGAGTGAAACATAAGAAACGCACCTTCAGAAATCTAGGAGCATATCGATTGAAATAGTCGAATACTTACACAAATATTCGAATATTCGGCTGGCGAATACCGAATATGTCGAATAGTCAGTTATCGAATAAAACTCGAATAGGCAGTGATTTCGTATTCGCTTTTTATTTGGTAGTTGTCGAATACCGAATACAAATACGAAAATGCTGGTATTTGTTTACACATGGAGGGCAGGGGGGAGGGGAACATGGAGGGCAGGGGGGAAGGGAACATAGAGGGCAGGGGGGAAGGGAACATAGAGACGTGGAATGGAGTGAGCAACTGCACATGAGTACAGCAGCTCACATGGGCGAGGTCAGACGCAGGCAGCAGCAATCACCACGCCCTTCCCCCGCGCCTTCACGCACCACCATTGTTTGTACTTTGAAATGCCTCACCAGGGGGGCGATTCCTCTCACCAGGGGAGCAACACCTCTCACCAGGGGTGCAACACCTCTCACCAGGGGCGTGTGGGCGGGCAGCCATTGGAAGAGCGGCTGGGAGCGGAACCATGTGATCTGGCGCTTGGCGTAGCGCCGCGACGCCTGCTGGAACTCCAAGATGAACGCCACCAGCGCCGCCTGCAATGCCGACTGCAGTGCCCGCTGCTGCTCTTCCACCCGCTGCTCTTCCACCCGCTGCTCTTCCACCCGCTGCTCTTCCACCTGCTGCTCTTGCAGTCCTCGCCCCTCACTGGTCCTCGCTTGCCCCATGAGGCGCTGGCAGTGCAGCAGGAAGGCCATGGCCTGGCGGTACCCGATGGCGCGTGTGGGCGACGAGGAGTCGGGGTGCAGCCCCGCCCGCAGCAGCGCCAGACTCTCCTCCAACAGCCCGCCTGCCAGGCAGCCGCACGGGTGGAGAGAGAGCACGAGAGAGGGGCACGGGAGGATGGCACGTGTGGGCGAGGAGGAGTCCGGGGTCAGCCCCGCTCGCAGCAGCGCCACACTCTCCTCCAACAGCCCGCCTGCCGGCCGGCCGCACGGGTGGAGAGAGAGCACGAGAGAGGGGCACGGGAGGATGGCACGTGTGGGCGAGGAGGAGTCCGGGGTCAGCCCCACTCGCAGCAGCGCCACACTCTCCTCCAACAGCCCGCCTGCCGGCCGGCCGCACGGGTGGAGAGCACACGAGAGAGGGCACGGGATGATGGGGCATGCGGAGGAGAGGAAGGCAAGAGATGGATGCACGAGGGCGAGGGGGCGGGAGCAGTGGGTTGGTGAAAGGTGCGTGGACTCGAGTGGTGCAGGTGAGGGCAATGGTGCGAGGAGGGTGCAGCGCACTAGAGTCACGAAGTACAAGCATTTGTTCGGTAGAATCTCAAAGGCCGTAAGTCATTCCACCTAGCAAGCAAGCACCAAGGCTCGCCTCACCTTGCACCATCTCTTCGCAGCGTCGATCTATTCGGCGGTACAGCGGCAGGCGAGGGGCGACCAGAAAGAAACAGTGGAAGGCGAACGGTGGCGGTGACGAATCCGCAGCAGTAGCAGCAGCGGCAGCAGCAGGCGGGGAGGAGTGTTTAGCCTCGTGGGAAGGCACGGTGATTTCTGACCGAGGCCGCCCCGTGGCCTGTGGGAGGGCAGACACGTGCAGGCTATGTTGAAGTCACTTTTGAGAGTTCTCAAAGGGGAGGTGTGTTTAGCCTCGTGGGAGGGCACGGTGACCTCTGATCGAGGCCGCCCAGTGGCCTGGCTTAGACAGGCTTGGAAAAAAAAGGCCGTGACGTGGAAAGGAGGGGAAATGGGCTTCAATTCAATGTGAAGAGGAGTGAAGAACGAGGAAGAGAGGGAAGGAGAGCACGGTGGCCTGGGGGACTTCGTGTGGCTCACTGTCCCTGGCCTGCTGGCTGGATGCCGGACGACACTCCTCCACCACTATGCTTTGAGCACTCTTGCCTCTTCACCACTCTTGCCCCCTACACACGCACACAGTGCCACCCACACACACACATACCCTGAGAATCTCAAACGCCCTGGTCAGCCGGTACCAGTCATTCCGCGCCAGCTGGCCTGCTGTGATTGGGTCGCCCGCAGCAGCAAGAGCAGCCAGAGCAGCCTCCCAGTCGCCCTCCTCCGCATACCTCACACACGTCTGCCTGCTCGCCCACCCCCGCTCCCTCGCCTCTCTCCCTCTCCCTGCTTCGCCCTGGCCCACCATCTCCTCCTCCATCCCCCCCACAGCCATGCCACCTCCCCCCACACCCACACCCGCACCATCGTTCACCTCCTCGCTCCTCCCATCAGCACTCAACGCTTTCTCCAAGCCGCCCCTCACCGCATCAGCAGCAGCAGACGCCCTTCCCTCTGCTGCATCCCCCTCACCCCCACATACTGCCTCTTCCGCCCCACCAACCGCCGCTACGCTCCTCTCATCCCCCCTCTCATCCCCCCTCTCATCCCCCCTCTCATCCCCCCTCTCATCCCCCCTCTCATCCCCCCCCGCCCCCTCCCCTCTCCTCGCTCTCCTCGCCTGCATCACAGCGGCCTCGATCTCGCGGGCCACAGCTCGTTCCAGGGAGGGGCAGGAGGGGGGCGTGGCAGGGCGGCCGTGCAGCAGCCATGCGAGGTACAGCCCCGTCCCACCCACCACCACCGGCACTCCCCCCCGCTGCACCACACCTTCTATGGCAGCATGCGCCTCCTCGTAAAAGTCAGCAGCCGTAAACTCTGGGGGGTGGGGGAGGGGCAGCGCAGCGGGATGGAGGGGGGGGGACGAGGGGGGGATGAGGGGGGGGAGAGGACGAGGGGGGCAGGAGGGGGGCAGGAGGGGGGCGTGGCGGGGCGGCCGTGCAGCAGCCATGCGAGGTACAGCCCCGTCCCACCCACCACCGCCGCCACTCCCCCCCGCTGCACCACGCCCTCTATGGCAGCGCACGCCTCCTCATAGAAGTCGCCTGCTGTGATGTGAACTCTGGGGGGTGCAAAGGTGGGATGAACGGGGGGGGAGGAGGGGGCATGCTGCTGCTCACATGCTGCTGCTCACATGCTGCTGCTCACATGCTGCTGCTCACATGCACCTGCTCACATGCTGCTGCTGATGCCCTGTGTGTCTCATCACCATCATCAAGCCCCCTCGCCTGCCCCCCTCCCTGCACGCACCCTGCACCGTACTCGCACCCTGCACCTTACTCGCACCCTGCACCTTACTCGCACCCTGCACCTTACTCGCACCATTTCATAACCCTCACCTGTCTAGCCTCCCGCCCACTACACGGCCCCGCCACCTCACCACGCCCCACCCACCGTGCCCCACCGTGCCCCACCTCTCCCCACCTCGCCCCACCGCGCCCCACCTTGCCAGGGCTCGCGGATGTCCAGCAGGTGGTGCGGCACGCGGCGCTGCTCATCAGGGGAGGCCTTGGCGGACCCCACGTCCAGTCCGCGGTACACCTGCACCGAGTCCGCGCTCACCACCTCGCCCCCCCGCACCGCCGCCGCCACCGCCAGCGCCAGCCGCGACTTGCCCACCGCCGTGGGGCCCGATATCACAATCACCCGCCGCCCCTGCCCCTGCCCTTGCCCGTCGCCGTGCCCCTGCCCCTGCCCCTGCCCGTGCCCCTGCCCTTGGCCTCTCGCTTCCTCCCCTGGCCGCCCCGCTGCTGCCCCCCGATCTAGCTGCCCGCGGCCTCCGCGCGCGCTCGCCTCAGCCTCGCATGCACCGGCTCCCAGGCCTTGCGCCACCATCCCCTCGCCCCTGCCCGCTTCGCTCCTCTCCCTCCCCTCCGTGCACCCTTGCTGCGCATCCCCTCTCGTTCGTGCCTCCGCCTCCCCCCCGCCCCGCGCTCGCAGCCCGTCCAGTTCCCCCGCCCCTGTACCCGCGCCCCTCGCCATGCGCTCACCGCCCGCGCGGGTGGCAGTGGCAGTGGCAGCGGCAGTGGCAGCTGCAGCTGCAGGTGCAGGTGCAAGCGCGGCCCTCCCTCGAGCCCCAGTCACTCGCGCGCCTTCACCTTCTCTTCTCCGCGCGCCTGGCGCCGCGCCTCCTCGCCCGCACTCGTGCCCAACGCAGCGCCGCACGGAGTAACGACCGAGCCGGTTTACAAGTGCACCGTTGAGCCAACGGTCAAGTCTATATACCGAGTAACTGCCGAGCCTAGTACCGAGCAGCATCCCCGTATCGACGAGGGCCAACGGGAGGAGCGCGACGGAAAGGGCCCGCGGGGGGAGGATGATCTAAGCGCGACGAGAGGGAGGGCCCGCGGGGCGGCTTTCTACGCGCGCCGGGATGCACGGGGGGGACGGGCGGCCTTAGGGGCGACGGGCGGTCTAGGCGCCACGGGCCGCAGCGGGGGCGACGGGCTAACGAGGCCGCGGGGCGCCGAGGCTAGCGGAGTCGACGGGCTAACTGGGCCGCGGGGGCGCGGGGCTTAGCACGGAAATCCAATCAAGGGAAATGTTGAATGCAAAAGACGGTACATCAACATGCGTCTAACGATGCAAACCAAATTATTATAAAGAACGCTGCCAGCTGTAGCGAGAACGTTTACTGGGGGTACGGTTGTGTTTTCCACACAAACCATTTGCTCGTGGGGAATTCGCCATCAGGTCAATACGAGGTATCGTAGCGACGGTTAGACGTCGTGGCTCGCATCGCAACGCAACCTTGCCAGCAGACTGCAGGCGACGCGTCATCTTCAACTTCAACGTCAGCGTCACCACGACCGCCATGCCAAACCGCAGCAGCGCGCCGTCGCGTCCCGCCCCGCCGCCGGCAGTGAGGGCGGGCGACCGCGTGAGCATCGTGGCGCCCGCCGGGGCTGTGGACGCGCGACTGTTGCGACAAGGCTGCGACGTGCTGGCGTCGTGGTGAGGCTCGCACCCGCCCTTCCGTGCGTAGTAATGACGTGCACACGCGCTCGCTCGTGCGTTCTGACGTACAAACGCGCGAGAGCAGTGACGAGACGCGCACGGTTCATGTGTGCTGAGGCACACGCACACACACCCCTGCTGTCGCTGCCGCCGCACTGCCGCTCGCACGTGCCGTGAGCTGGCGATCGGGTGAATGAGTGAGTGAGGGAGTAGCTAGGAATGCAAAACCGAGCTCATACACATCGTGACCGCTGCTGCTCACTTGCGAGGTGCCGCCACGCGCTGTCACGCCATTGGCATCCCTCCCCTATTTGAGAATTCCAAGTAATTTCAATGTCTCCCCTTTCCCTCGTTCTGCCTTCCCCTCCCCCTCGTTCTGCCCCTCCCTTCCCCCTCGTTCTGCCCCTCCCTTCCCCCTCGTTCTGCCCCTCCCTTCCCCCTCGTTCTGCCCCTCCCTTCCCCCTCGTTCTGCCCCTCCCTTCCCCCTCGTTCTGCCCCTCCCTTCCCCCTCGTTCTGCCCCTCCCTTCCCCCTCGTTCTGCCCCTCCCTTCCCCCTCGTTCTGCCCCTCCCTTCCCCCTCGTTCTGCCCCTCCCTTCCCCCTCGTTCTGCCCCTCCCTTCCCCCTCGTTCTGCCCCTCCCTTCCCCCTCGTTCTGCCCCTCCCTTCCCCCTCGTTCTGCCCCTCCCTTCCCCCTCGTTCTGCCCCTCCCTTCCCCCTCGTTCTGCCCCTCCCTTCCCCCTCGTTCTGCCCCTCCCTTCCCCCTCGTTCTGCCCCTCCCTTCCCCCTCGTTCTGCCCCTCCCTTCCCCCTCGTTCTGCCCCTCCCTTCCCCCTCGTTCTGCCCCTCCCTTCCCCCTCGTTCTGCCCCTCCCTTCCCCCTCGTTCTGCCCCTCCCTTCCCCCTCGTTCTGCCCCTCCCTTCCCCCTCGTTCTGCCCCTCCCTTCCCCCTCGTTCTGCCCCTCCCTTCCCCCTCGTTCTGCCCCTCCCTTCCCCCTCGTTCTGCCCCTCCCTTCCCCCTCGTTCTGCCCCTCCCTTCCCCCTCGTTCTGCCCCTCCCTTCCCCCTCGTTCTGCCCCTCCCTTCCCCCTCGTTCTGCCCCTCCCTTCCCCCTCGTTCTGCCCCTCCCTTCCCCCTCGTTCTGCCCCTCCCTTCCCCCTCGTTCTGCCCCTCCCTTCCCCCTCGTTCTGCCCCTCCCTTCCCCCTCGTTCTGCCCCTCCCTTCCCCCTCGTTCTGCCCCTCCCTTCCCCCTCGTTCTGCCCCTCCCTTCCCCCTCGTTCTGCCCCTCCCTTCCCCCTCGTTCTGCCACTCCCCTCCCCCTCGTTCTGCCCCTCCCCACTCTTCTCGAACTCGGCAGGGGTCTCGTGCCGGTCGTGCATCCGCAAGTCGCGCTGCGCCAAGCCTACCTCGCAGGCTTGGACCAAGCCAGAGCCGCAGGTCTGGTGGAGGCGTTTCTGGAACCCAGCACGCGCGCAGTGGTGTGCGCCCGGGGCGGGTATGGCTGCGCGCGCCTGCTGCCCCTGCTGGAGAGCGCGCTTAGGGGGGAGGGGCAAGGGGAGGCGGAGGCGGAGGGGGAATGGGAGCGCGGAGAGTGGGAAGAGGGGGAAGGGGATGCGGACACAGAAAGAGGCGCAGAGGCAGTGTTGAGAAAAGGAAGGGCGCCGAATGAGGGTGGGGAGGATGAGCATGGGGGTATTGAGGCCAGGGGGGATGGGTGGCGGCGCAGGCAATGAGGACGGGGAGAATGGGGGCCGTGGAGATGAGGGCAAGGGGCAGCAAGCGAGAAGGGATGAGGGCGGGGGCAAGGTAGGCGAATGGGCGTCGAGGGTTGAAGGGCGGACGGGGTGTGGGGGCACGGATGGGGACAGAGAGGGGGGGGTGATGGGGGAAGGGGAGGATGGAGCGGAGGGGCGTGCAGAGGCACGGTTAGGCGTGGGGGGAGCGGGTGGGGGGGCAGCAAGGGAGGATGGTGGGTGCAGAGCCGCGGGTGATTGCATTGCTGACGTGGCACGATGCTCTATTGCTGACGTGGCACAATGCTCTATTACTGACGTGGCACAAGGCAGCAGCAGCAGGCGCTCACGGCTTGCTACAGAGATCCGCCGCAAGCGATTCTTCGGCTTCAGTGATGTCACAGCGCTGCACAGGTGAGGGAGGGTGTTGACCGGCCACACCCACCGGCCACATTTACCCACATGCCATTCCTGTCGTTCCCTTCCCTCCCCTCCCCTCCCCTTTTCTCCTTTCCCCTCCCCTCTTCCCCTTCCCTCTCCCCAACTGTCCTCCCCCTCCCCTTTCCCCACATGTCAGTTTCTTCCAGGCGGAGCTAGCAGAGCCAGTCATCTCCTTCCACGCGCCCATGCCAGCCACATCATTCTTCATCGACCAATCAGCACTCGCCAGCAGAGCAGCCCTCCGTGCCGCCCTCTTCGAACCCTCCCTCGCTCTCGCCTGCCCGCCGCTTCAGGTGATGGTCAGGTGCCCTTTCGGCCATTCTCAGGTGCTTTTCAGGTTATCGTCACTTCACGTGCGCTCCCTCCCACCTCTCTCCCCATTCCCTCGCGCCGTGCTCCTCGCTGTAATTCCTGTCAGCTTTGGGGCTCTTGAGGCGTCCCCTTGCATACCTTTCACATCTCCTCTCTCGTCCTCTTCCACCCCGCCTTTCCCCCTGTATTCCCTCCGCCTTCCTCTTCATCCATCACGGGGCCGCCACCCCCAGAGGGGCTGCTACTGCGGCGCCTAGGTGAGCAAATCTTTCTCTACCCTTTCCTCCTTCATCAACCTGTGTTTCCACCTCTCTAAACCCCCTCCGCCTTTTCCCCTCCGCCTTTCCCCCTCCGCCTTTTCCCCTCCGCCTTTCCCCCTCCGCCTTTCCCCTCCGCCTTTCCCCCTCCGCCTTTCCCCCTCCGCCTTTTCCCCTCCGCCTTTCCCCCTCCGCCTTTCCCCCTCCGCCTTTTCCCCTCCGCCTTTCCCCCTCCGCCTTTCCCCCTCCGCCTTTCCCCCTCCGCCTTTCCCCCTCCGCCTTCCCCCCGTTGACCATCGCAGGGCCGCTGCCTCCAAAGAGGCTGCCTGGGCGGCACCTCCTCTTGCTGCCGCCCAAACCGGGTGCAAGGGCGGCTGCTGGGCGGCAATCTGTCTGTTCTGGCGTCACTGGTGGGGTCCAAGTGGGCGACGGGGCGGCGAGGCAGCTGCTCCTGCTGCTGCAGCTGCAGCAGCGGTGGTGGGGGTGCGGGGGACAATGACGGTGTGATTCTGATGCTGGAAGATGGTGAGACCTGTGGTGTGATGCTTGGGGTGGGATGGGATGGGGTTGGGGTGACATGTTGATGAGTCACCATCATCAATGGTGCGACTTCAGCTCTCGCCTGCCTCGCCCTATGCCATGCCTTCTCCCCGGATTCATTAGAACGCTCTGCACCTAATGCCATGCAACCTTGCGCCACTCTTCGTCTTTGCTGCAATCTGTAACCACTGCCATGCCATGCCATGCCATGCCTCTGCCAGGCCTCCGTTGTCCCAGTCGCATTCCTCAAATCTTCCCATCCTGCCTCTGTATCTCTGTGCTGCCCATGCGTGCTTCCCATGCTGCTGCTGCCCGTGCCATGTGGCAGTGGGAGAGGAGGAGTACCGGGTGGATCGCATGCTGCACCAGCTGCTGCCCTCGCTGCTCCCTTCCGCCCCTCCTCCCTGCCACGCCATCAAATGCAGCCACTCGCGTAATTCTGCCACCCATGCGCTATGGAAGGGCATGGGTCCCCACCATCATGCCCGTGCTGCCTGCTGCACCTGCATGGGACATGAGACACAGAGCCATGTGACGGCCCTGTCGGGGCTGGTTCTTGGAAGCTTCTCCAACTTCCAGGGCATGAGTGAGGAGGCCCGAGGTATGCATGGGGTGCATGGGGGGGTATGGGTTGTATGGGCCGCTTGCATGTCGACTCAGAAGTCTGTATGGGCTGCTGTGGCTGCTGCTTTTGGCGCATCCCACAGTACTGCCTGCAGTGTTTTCCCCACGCTACTGCCTTGCTGGGACTGCCATTCATGCCAAACGCCCTCCTTGTCATCCATAGCCTTCCATCATCCCTCCATCACTCCCATCCCATCCCATCCAACCTCGTCCAGAGAGTGTTCGACCAATCGTGGAGGAGCAGTATGGAGGCGACTGGGACAAATGGTTCTGGCTGGGACAGGTGGCGCTCCCTCATTGGCTGCCGGTGCTGGCGGGGCTTCCCATTGGCCACACGAGTGACAACAGAGTAGCTCCTATTGGTGCTCTCGTGGAACTTGATGTTGAAGCGGCAACGCTCACCGTGGTGTGATATTACATTTGATTTGAGACGATTCAAGACAACAGGGTGGCTCCTACAGGTGCTCTCGTGGAGCTTGATGTTGAAGCGGCAACCCTAACTGCACTATAGTATGTATTGAGACGATTTTTGCGACGTCTCAAACGGTGCGGACTCAAAAGCCTGCAACAGCACTTCTTTTGGATTTTTGAAGACGTCTTTGTCCTGTGTTTTTATTGTTTATTGATTTTGTTTTGCTTGTAACGAGCACAATTCGAGGAAGGGCTCGCGCTGCCGTCTTTGCCGTCAATCCGCTTCAACATCCGCTCCCTCGCGCCGGACTTGCGCATTCACGCCAGCACCACCGCACACTGTCACCGCCCTCCCGCAACCTCATCTCCCCCGCGCCGCAGCCATTTCGCGCACCACCCTATCACCGCGCCCGCCACTTCTGCAGCGGCCCCTACTCGCGCGCCGTTCTCGCCACTGCGGTCAACCGCGCACCGACGTATCACCGCGCTTTCCATTCCTGCACCGTGCGCTAATTCGCGCGCCGTTCTTACTCCGCTACGCTGCGCGCTACCCGCCACCACATTCCGCCACCTCGCCGCCGCCGGCTTCCGCCGACTTCCGCCGGCCTTGAGGCGCAAGAACTAGTAACCGCCTGCCGACAGGCGCAGGGAAACCGCCGCCAGCGCCGCGGCGCAATGACGGGTGGGTTTGCGCCGATGGAGATCGACGGGGAGAGCTCGCGCGCAGCGCCAGCGGGGAAGCGCGAGGTGTGGGCGTGGTACGGGTACGATGCGGCGGTGGCGGGATTCTACTCCGCCGCGCTGCCCATCTTCTTCCCCCTGCTGCTCGTCGCGCTCGCCTCGGAGTTCGCGTGGCAGCACGCCGCGTCGCCGCAGCCGCCCGCGTGCAGCGCGGAGGTCACGAGCGACTGCCTGCAGTGCATGCCGGGGAAGGGCACACAACTTCAAACGTCCGCGGGGTGAGGAATGCCGGGGGAAGGGTTTCTTGGGGGAAGCACGTGAGGGCCCGCGTGCGGCGCGGAGGTTGCGAGCGACTGCCTGCAGTGCGTGCCGGGGGAAGGCAGGCAGCTGCTGACGCCAACGGGGTGAGGAATTGAAGGGGGGCGGGGGGTCTTGGGGAGCGCGGATGAGCGCGCGGAATGACAGGCATACCAATATCATTGCTCCAAAAAGTCTCAAAACAGAGCCTTTTTCACACCCCCTTCCCCTACTCCCCCGCCCGTTCTTCTCAATCCGCCTCCAGGCGCACAGAGGCACCCATGCGGGGCATCCCAACACGTCACATCAAATCCTCTTTCCCATCCTCCACTCCCCCTCCTCGTCAACCCACCCCCCCTTCTTCCTCCGCAGGTACACAGGCAGCCATTTGGGGTATGCCAGTGGCGGGCGGCGGCAGGATGAACCCGGCTCGGCATTGAAAGGGGATTCCACCCGCCAGCGTTTTGAAAATTCCTCTGCTGGTGCCTGCAGGGGCACATGTCATCACGGGTCTTCTTTCACCTCATGACCCCTCATTACCCCTCATAACCCCTCGCCTTCTACCAGGTACGTTGAGGAGCCCGTGCCAGGCATCCCAGTGGTGGGCGGTGGCAGCATCAACCCAGTGTCGTTCGCCACGGCCATGCTGGGCGTGTCTGTGCTCTTTGAAGTCGCCGCGTTCGTCACCGTCGGCCCCCTCGCGGACTTTGGGCGCGGCAGGAAACAGGTAGGGTGAGGGGGGAAGGGGAGGGGGGGAATGGGAAAGGGGGAAGTGGGGAAGGAGGGAGTTTCGTTCGCCACGGCCATGCTGGGCGTGTCTGTGCTCTTTGAAGTCGCCGCGTTCGTCACTGTCGGCCCTCTTGCTGATTTTGGCCGCGGGCGCAAGCAGGTAACATAGATGCGCCCGGGATGGGGGAGAGTGGGGAGAGAGGCAATTGCGACAGCCATGCTGGGCGTGTCCGCTGCTCTTTGTGCTCTTTGTCCATGCCTTTGTCACTGTTGGCTTGGCCGCCTCGCTGACTTTGGCCGCGACAGGAAACAGGTTGGGAAGGGGAGAGGGAGAGGAGGGGAGAGGGGGGAGGGCCATGCTGGGTGTGTCCGTGGTCTTTGAGGGGGCCGCGTCTGTCACTGTTGGGCCCCTCGCTGACTTTGGCCGCGGGCGCAAGCAGGTATGTAGATGCCCCTAGGAGTGCTCTTTGAGGTCGCTGCCTCCCGCTCCTCCGACTCTCGCGCCTCTCATTCCTCATGCTCATCCACTCATTCTCCCACCATCCATCTGCCCCTCCCTCTCCTCCCTTTCACAGCTGCAGCCACTGGGAGTAGCAGCCTGCTTGTTTTGAGTTGACTTACCTGCCCCTCCCTCCCCCTCCCCCTCCGCCTTCCCTCTCAACAGCTACTGCAGGTGGGCACGTACATGGGCGGCGCCGCTTGTCTCTTCTGCCTCGCTCTCTCTCCTCCCTTTCACAGCTGCTGCAGCTGAGGGCAGCAGCCTGCTTGCTTTGAATTGAATTACCTGCCCCTCCCCTCTGCCTTCCCTCTCAACAGCTACTGCAGGTGGGCACGTACATGGGCGCTGCTTCCTTTGCAGTGACTCTTGAGTCGACTCAAGCTCATAAACTCATACTTCTATCGCCTGCACTCTCCCTCTCCCCCTCTTCTCCCTCCCACAGCTACTGCAGGTGGGCACGTACATGGGCGGCGCTGCTTGTCTCTTCTGCCTCGCCCTCGCCTCGCCAGCCCTCTGGTGGCTTGCTGCGCTGCTGCTCGTGATCTCCAACGTTGGCTATGGCATCGCCACTGTTGCTTACTACAGGTGAGATGATCCCAGACCTGCCTGACACTGCTGCTACTGCAGCTGCTGCTGCCCAACCTCCCACTGCTACTCCCACCACTTCTCACCGCATCGCCGTCAGCATCTATCCCCCACCCCCTCCCCTTAATTACCATATCCCCCAACTCTCCCCACAACCCCCACTCGCTCCTCCGAAAAAACTACCTGGCAATGCTGGTGGACGCATCTCCTGTGGTGCAGCAAGCTGAGAACGCATCGCCTGATGCACCCACACCCACACCCACCCTCCCTCTCCCTCTCCCCCCATACCACTCCCCCTTTTTCTCCTCCATCCCCCTTCCACACAGCTACCCAGAAGTGCTGGAGGACGCGTCCCCCCAGGTGCAACAGGCGGAGGACGCGCTGCCTGCGGATTGAGGCACCCATACCTCCCCCCGAACCCCCCCTTCCCCACATTCTCCACACCCTCGCCCCTCCACTTTCCTCCCCCCTCCCCTTTCCACACAGCTACCTGGCAGTGCTGGTGGACGCGCCCCGAGGTTCAACAAGCAGAGGACGCATGGCCTGAGGCACTCCATATCCTCAAACCCCCCTCCCTTCCCTCTTCCCCCACCCCCCCCTTTGCTTGCCCTCAGCTACTTGGCAGTGCTAGTGGACTCGTCACCAGAGGTGCAACAGGCGGAGGCGGTGTTGCCTGCAGCCTCTAGCACTCATACCTCCCCCACGTTGCCTGCAGACTGAGACATCCATACCTCCCCCACGTTGCCTGCAGACTGAGACATCCATACCTCCCCCACCCTTCTTTTTCCTCCCTCTCCCCCTCCCCTCAGCTACCTGGCAGTGCTGGTGGACGCGTCCCCCGAGGTGCAACAGGCGGAAGCAGCGGGGCTGCCGGTGCAAGCGGTGGTGGAGATGCGGGAGCAGGTGGGAGGGGGTGCAAAGGGGTGGGACGGGGCGGGGTGTAAAGGGATTCTTAGATTAATCCACTGTACCCAGGGAGCAGGTGGGGCGAGGGATCAGGTGAGAGGAGGGGACAGGTAGGGGCGGGATAAAAAGAGTATTTTGGAATTTCTCTACCTACCAAAGTAACCTTATCCCTTCCCATCACCACCGCTCCCATCACCACTCACATTTCGTTACCGCCCTCAACCGGGGCCCCCAGTATCCCCATCAGGTAGAGAATCACTTCTCTCTCACGGCTGCCACCTCTGCCATTGTTGCCTCTGTACCTGCAACTAGCTCAGCATCCCACCCCAACCCATCCCAACCCATCCCATTCCATCCCATCCCATCCCATCCCATCCCATCCCCTGGCCCTTACCCCACCGTCCCACCATTTTATTCCCCAACCGTACCCCCATGTCATTTCCCAAACGTCCCCCCTTGCACCATTCATTGTCAGGTTGAAAACCGTCTGTCTCTCAGCGCGGTCACATGTGCTGGTGCCGCCTCCATTGCTGCACTGCAAATAATAAACCATCCCACCTGCACAGGTGGTCTCTCCCTCATGGCCGTTGCCTGTGACAGCGCCTTCTCCATAGCTGTCTCCCGCCTAGCGCTCGCCGCCCTGCTGGCCCATCCCCATCCCCATCCCCATCCCCATCCCCATCCCCATCCCCATCCCCATCCCCATCCCCATCCCCATCCCCATCCCCATCCCCATCCCCATCCCCAACCTGGGCCCACCCATCACTAACCGTCCCCCCCCACATGCCCTCCATGTGGAGAGTCGCCTCTCCCTCACGCCCGTGCCACCGTCGCGTCCATCACCGTGACCCTTGTAGCTCGCGCCGTCACTCTTCCCACCTCCTTCCCCTCCCGACCTCCCCCATCCGTCCCCCCCACGCCCCCCACCAGGTGGAGAATCGTCTCTCCCTCACAGCAGTCGCCTGTGCCAGTGCCGCCTCCATCGCCGTCACCCTCCTCGCACTCGCCTCTACCCTCCCCACCTCTTCCCCCTCCCTCAAGCTCCGCCTAGCCGTCGCCCTCTGCGGCGCATGGTGGATCCTCCTCGCCCTCCCCACCTTCGCCTTCCTTAAAGCCCGCCCTGGCCCGGCCCTCCCTCCGGGCTCCCCTCTCCGAGTCTTCTCCGGGTGGCGCCATCTCGGCGCCATTCTGGCCGAGGCGCGGCGCTACCGCAACGCGTTTGCGTTCCTGGTGTGCTACTTCGTGTATGCGGACGGCTACACCACCATCATGCAGGTGACTTTTGTGTCATGCAGGTGACTTTTTGTGTCATGCAGGTGATTTTTGTGTCATGCAGGTGATTTTTGTGTCATGCAGGTGATTTTTGTGGCATGCAGGTGACTTTCGTGTCTCATGCCGATGACTTTTGTATCGGTTTCTGGAGTCGACTCTAAATTCACCTCGTTTGCGTTCCTGGTGTGCTACTTTGTGTACGCGCGTGCTTTCTGGATACCTACACCACCATCATGCAATGCAGATCTAAGTGTTCTTCGGCCAGAGAGAGCTCTGCCTCTCTTTTGACGCGCCTCAAAAACCCACCTTTCCCCACCTTTGTGTTTGCGCGTGCTTCCTGGATGCCCACACCACCATCATGCAATGCAGATCGGAGTCCTCTTCGGCCAGCGAGAGCTCTGCCTGTCCACGGGTGGCACGGTCCTGCTCGCCTGCTGCGTCTTCCTCTTCGCGCTCCTCGGCACGCCGCTCGCCTTCTGGCTGCAGCGCCTCTCCGGGCTGCACAACAAAGCAATGGTCTGCGTGCTTATAGCGGGGATGATTCCCCTCCCGCTCTGGGGCCTACTCGGGTACCTCACACCGGACGGAGGCCTGGGGTTGAAGTCAGCGTGGGAGCTGTATGTGTTTGCGGGGTGGTTCGGTGTGCTGCTGGGGCCGCTGTCGTCGTATTCGAGAACGCTCTTTATTGACATGATCCCTGTGGGAAGAGAAGGTGCCTTCTTCTCGCTCTACTCCGTCAGTGACAAGGGCTCCTCCTGGCTTGGGCCCTTCATTGTAGCAGTCATTGTCCAGGTGGGAAGCGGTGGGGTTGGGTCGGGTGCGTGTGGTGTAGTGTGGGTGGTTCGGTGTGCTGCTAGGTGCGCTGTCCTCGTATTCGAGAACGCTGTTCATTGACATGGCCCCTGTGGGCCGGGAGGGTGCCTTCTTCTCGCTCTACTCCGTCAGCGACAAGGGCTCCTCCTGGCTTGGACCCTTCATTGTTGCCGTCGTTGTACAGGTGGGTTGTGGTGAGGAGCAGTAGGGTGCGGTGGAGTTGGGGTGTTGTAAGGTGCGGTGGGATGTGGTGGGAAGGGGTGTGATGGTGAGAGGGGGAGGGGGGGAGGAAGAGGAAAGGAGAGGGTGCCTTCTTCTCGCTCTACTCCGTCAGTGACAAGGGCTCCTCCTGGCTCGGCCCGTTCATTGTTGCTGTCATTGTGCAGGTGGGGGGTGGTGGGGGGCGGTGGAGTGCGGTGGAGTGCAGGTGTGGTGCGGTGGGTTGGGATGGGGTGCGTGTGTTGTGGGTGTGGGTGTGGGTGTGGGTGTGGGTGTGGGTGTGGGTGTGGGTGTGGGTGTGGGTGTGGGTGTGGGTGTGGGTGTGGGTGTGGGTGTGGGTGTGGGTGTGGGTGTGGGTGTGGGTGTGGGTGTGGGTGTGGGAGTGGGGTTGGTGCAGTTGTGAGGGTGCATGTCGGCATTGGGGGTGAGTTTATTGTGTGTGGTGGGGGTGGGGAGGGGGAAGGCTCTTGGTGGCTGACTTGTGCTGAGGTGGCTGACTTGTGCTGAGGTGGCTGACTTGTGCTGAGGTGGCTGACTTGTGCTGAGGTGGCTGACTTGTGCTGAGCTGGCTGACTTGTGCTGAGCTGGCTGACTTGTGCTGAGCTGGCTGACTTGTGCTGAGCTGGCTGTCTTGTGCTGAGCTGGCTGACTTGTGCTGAGCTGGCTGTCTTGTGCTGAGCTGGCTGACTTGTGCTGAGGTGGCTGTGGGTGCGGGGGACAAGCGAGCTAGGGAGTGGGAAGAGTCATTTGTAGCCACATGCTGCCGTGCGCCATGCTTTGATGCATCCGTTGCTGCAGTTTATCAACCACACGTCATGCCTCCATCACATCACATGCCATGCCTCCCTCAAATACCGCCCTGCCCTCATAACCTACCTCCCCTGTCAGCGTACAAATTTGTGCTTACATGTGGACTCTATAGGCTAGGTTTAGGTTCGCTAAAGAGATTACAGGTTGTTAAATTAAGCCCCCTGTATCGCCTCAGCCCATTCGTTCACATTCCAACATCCCCCTCGTCTCCTTGCCCTACCCCAGACCAGAGGGGAGCTCCGAGCTACATATCGTATCACCCTGCCTTACACCCCAACTCCTTGCCATATCGTATCACCCTGCCTTACACCCCAACTCCTTGCCATATCGTATCACCCTGCCTTACACCCCAACTCCTTGCCATATCGTATCACCCTGCCTTACACCCCAACTCCTTGCCATATCGTATCACCCTGCCTTACACCCCAACTCCTTGCCATATCGTATCACCCTGCCTTACACCGCAACTCCTTGCCATATCGTATCACCCTGCCTTACACCCCAACTCCTTGCCATATCGTATCACCCTGCCTTACACCCCAACTCCTTGCCATATCGTATCACCCTGCCTTACACCCCAACTCCCCTCGTCTCCCTGCCCTACCCCAGACCACGAGAGAGCTCCGAGCGTCCTTCTTCCACATCCTGGCAGTGATGCTGCTGCCGCTGATCGCCCTGGTGCCTCCCTCACTCTAATACCACCCTGCGTTACCCTCCCCCCTTGCACTGCCCCAGGCGACAGGGGAGCTCCGAGCGTCCTTCTTCTACATCCTGGCAGTCATGCTGCTGCCGCTGATCGCCCTGGTACTGGCAGTGGACCATGCGCGCGGCATCACGGATGCGGGGCGCAGCAGCCGCAGCGGGGCGGGGGACACGGGCATCGCTCAGGAAGACCAGCCCAACGTGGTGGGGGGTGTTGTGCCCTACACCGCCATGCGCGCTCACTGACTTTTGAGGCCGCCCCAAACGCAGGGCGGGGGACACTGGCATTGCTCAGGATGACCAGCCCAATGTGGTGGGGGGCGTTGTGCCCTACACCGCCATGCGCGCTCACTGACTGCCTCTCGCTCTGCCTGTGCCGCACTGACTGGCTGTGCCGCACTGACTGGCTGTGCCGCACTGACTGGCTGGGCTGCACTGACTGCCTGTGCCAAGAAATCTCTCTGATTTCCCAGAAATACAGACAAAAATGTCTCATTGCAAGGACCCTAGTAGTGGAGTACCGTATCGCCCCGGATAGTAGCGCCGCCTGATTAAAGGCGCCGGCGCTTCTATCTGGAGCCATGCGCTTATGGCCGGTCCTCAATTATAAGCGCACCCCCTAAAAACTCAATACTTTTTATAAGCGCATCCTCCCCCCTAAGGGGTATTCATTTCACTATTTGTTATTCTAAACATTTTCTCCTAACAAGAAATCTACACATGCCCCTGAACCATTCATCTCAATCAGCATTATGATGTTTTACCAGCACATTCCTAGCTAGAATCTACTCGTCGTCTGACTCAGGCTCCTCGCAGTTGTTGCCAAAGAAGCCGTTGGCAATGATTTCGTCATCGACGTCGACCTCGTGGGTCAGCTGGCTCCGCCTGTGCGCCATGGCAAGGTTGCCTTCACTGCCGTTAAGGGCGTTGCTGATGCCACAGGTGAGGAACGCCTTCTTGATAAGCTCCGCTGGCACGGCCTTCCAGGCTCGTGAGATCCACCTGAGTACCACTGCTGGAGGGGGCTTCTTGATGTTCCCTGCACCACAAGAACGGTATCAGCATGGGAGTTACAACAACAAAGGGGGGGTATTCACGTTGCGCTCAAACAATCACAGATGGAACTCTTACCCGCAAGCGTCAGACGCTCCTGGCCTTCCTCTTCAAACCAGCTCTGGTACTACTGGCGGATGGAGGCTTTGAAGGATTTGTTGATTGAGACGTCGAGCGGCTGCACCTCCGCCGTACAGCCCGACGGGATCACGGCGGGCACGACGCCAAGCTCGGTGAACTTCTCCCTCAAAGAGTCCGTGAGATGCCCGCGGTAGGAGTCCAGAACCACCATGGCGCTCCTCGCCTGCCTGCCGAACCGGGGCCTGATGAAGGGCTTGATGCACTCGTCGAGCCAGCGCAGGACGCCTTCGGCGTCCATCCATCCGTTCGGGTGACACGCCACGACCACATCTGGCAAACCACAGTAAACAAGCAAGTGTAATCAACAACAAGCGACACGGTAAACAAACCATGGAACAAGAGGGGTGTAACAATACCTGGCGGGAAATCTCCCTTCGGCACCGTCTTGCGCTTGAAGAAGACCCACGGCTTGAGCTTCTCGCCGTCGGCCGTGTACGCGAGCATCACGGTCACGCGTTCCTTCTGGTACCCCCCGCTCCTTATCGGCACCGATCGAACGCCTGTCTCTTCCACAGTACTGGTGGCGGGCATCTCGAGCCACAGCGGCGTCTGGTCGGCGTTGATAATCCAGCGGTTTTCGATGCCGCGCTCACGCCGCATGTCACGCACGAACTGCCAGAAGTTCCGGCACAGCTCCGCGACATCTGCTCACACAAGTACAGTGTTAACAATGCAAAAGTGAGTCACAACCGGAAACCGGTTAACAGCAAAACAAGCACGATGCACATCAAAACCAAATGGCATGGCATCTTCGTCTTCATGCGCACGCTCAGATTCCACCGTTTCCGAAACCGCTCCGACCATCGTTGGCTCCCCTTCCACTTCACGTTGGGGAAAAGGAGCTTCATGAACTCCCTTGACCACTCCTGCAGCCGACCGACGGAGACGGCAGTACCTTTGCGGCGCCACTCGAGAAGCTTTGCATAGACCTTCAGCTCCATCGGCCTGTACCACGATGCCCTCCCGCGCCCGTGCATCCGCTTCCGTGCAGAGTGCTCTTCCTTGAGCATGGCGGCGGCTCTCTTCCACTCAGCGAGACACTTGCGGTGGATTCCCGACTCGCGAGACAGCGCGCGCAGTGACACCGACACATCCATGCGGCCAACCCACTGCAGCTTCTCCTGCGCGGTATACGAGTTACGCTTATGCTGCGAGGGCTTGTGCCTGGGAGAGGGGGGGCGGGCATCACGGTTCTCAGAAGAGGGGTGGGGTCGCTTGCGGTTAACAGGCGGAAATATTGGAATAGGAAGTTTCTCGGGAAGCCCGTCGCGCGACCAGTACTCCACACCGCCATCCTCGTCGCCGCCCGGGACACCCTCGGGAAACACATCTGCCGCGGTGCTGCCCTCAGCGCCAGTGTCGGTGCCAGCCGCGGTGCCAGCCTCGGTGTCGGCCTCGTCGTCGTCAGCGCCCACAGCAGATTCGTCCCACGCGCAATCTTGCGGCTGGCCCCATCGTGGTGCCGGGGGCGGAGCGCGAACGTAGACGTCGGGGGGCTTGTTGCTGTCAGGTTCCGACAGATACTCGTCGAACGCCGACGGGTGCAGGAGCGTGAGCACGGGAGGATGTGATGGGCCTACACACACGGGCGGACTGGGAGGAACAGGAGGCGCTGGAGGACATGGCGGCGCAGGAGGCGCTGGAGGAGATGGCGGCGCAGGTGGCGCAGGAGGTTGGGGTGGCACAGGAGGCTCTGGTGGGACACGGCTGTACCAGCCGTTAGCGTCAACTCGCCATGCTGGCTTAGGCTTTTTCTTGAATAGAAAGTGCGTGCCGGTAAATTCCGCCATGGCTTTTGCAGCCTGGCGGGCGAAACATGAGGAACAAAGGATGAAAGTGCAAGAATGGGAACAAGAATGAAGTTATGAAGGGACCCCTTCAGCCTTGCGGCTCGGGATCCTCGTCAATGAAAGACAGGAACCCCCCTGCCTAAACCCGCAGAGGAGGGTCCGCGGCCCGTCACATGCATAGTTGGCAGGGCATATTCGACCCCCTTCTAGAGGGATCGATCGCGATGCTCCTGTGTGGCATCAAATTGGCTCCTGATTGGGCCGCACGGCAGTTTCCCAGTCAGCGTTGGCAGATGCATTGCCGGGGGACGGGTTTTGTGCGGTGGGAACTCGAGTCGCAGGTGTTTTCGTCTGCATTTCGTGCATGAACACGCGTGAACGTTTCACGGTCGTGTTCTCCTTTCAAAGGGCTTCGATTTGGTTACCTTAAAAACAAATTTCATCTTTCACTGTACCGTATAACCCCGGATATAGGCGCATGTGCGCTTATAATAAAACTGGTTTTTTTAGGGGGGGGCGCTTGTAATTGAGTCACGGCCATAAGCGCCGGCGCTTATATCATGGTCAAAAATGAAATTGTAATTGAAAAGTACCAAATCGAAGCCCGCAATAAGGCGAACACATTTGTGTAACGTGCGCGTGAGGTAATGCATGAAATCCCGCCGAAAACCATCACGCTTCGATTCCCGACCGCACAAACCCCGTCCAGGAGCAGGGAATCTGCCAGCGCTGACGTGAATGTTGCCATGCGGTCCAATCAGGGTAACATGCGGTGGCAGGCAGCTGCATTTCACCCGAACCATCGAGAAGGCGGTGGAATGACCTGCCAGCGCATCATGTTCGTGCCACGATACCCTCCTCTCCGGGTTCAGACAGGGGGTACCCGTCTCGCCCCGACGAGGACCCCGAGGCGCAAACCCGCAGGGGTCCCTTTGAATCTCTCATTTGTGCACCTTTTCTCTCAGTTTCTTGTTCCGTTTCTTCTTCACTCCCGCCTGGCTGCGGAAGCCATGGCGGAATTCAGCGGCACCCACTTCTTGTTCAAGAAAAAGCCTACTCGAAGGCCCGCGTTTACAGTAGACGCTGACGGGTGGTGCACCCGTATCCCGCCAGATCCACCAGAGCCACCACAGCCTCCTGCGCCGCCTGCGCCTCCTGCACCTCCTGCTCCTCCTTCGCCTCCTGTTCCTCCTTCGCCTCCTGCGCCTCCTCTTCCTCCTTCGCCTCTGCGCGGGTTGCCCAGAAAACCGCTGCGCGTAAGTGATACCCCGGTTTATGTGCCACGTGTGTTTTGTACCTGTGTACTAACACCCTCTGTGTGTGCTGGTCCTCTCTTCTCCCGCCGTGCAGGTGTCGCTGAGCTGTGCCGCATGTTCTGGCAGTTCGTGCGTGACAAGCGTCGAGAGCGCGGCATCGACACCGCGTGGATCATCAACGCGGATCAGACGCCGCTATGGCTGGAGATGCCCGCCACCAGCACCGTGGAGGAAGCGGGTGCTCGCTCGGTGCCTATCAGGAGCGCGGGGTATCAGAAGCAGCGAGTGACCGTGATGCTGGCGTGCGCGGCTGACGGACGGAAGCTGAAGCCGTGGGTGTTCTTCAAGCGCAAAACATTGCCGAAGGGCGATTTCCCTGCCGGTAAGCAAACAATTGCCCTCGTCTGTATTTGCGTTCTGTTCTGAGTGCGTGTTCTAACCACACGCTCGGGTTTCGTGCAGATGTGGTCGTGGCTTGCCACGAGAACGGATGGATGGACTCCGCGGGAGTCGTTCGCTGGCTTGAGGAGGACGTCAAGCCTTTCTTGAAGCCTCGGTTCGGCAGATGCGCGAAGAGCTCGATGCTGGTGCTGGACTCTTACCGCGGTCACCTCACCGAGGAGGTCAAGGAGAAGCTCCGCGAGATGAACTGCGTGCCGGCTGTCATCCCGTCGGGCTGTACGGCGGAGGTACAGCCGCTCGATGTCTCCATCAACAAAAGCTTTAAGGCGTCGGTCCGCCAGCAGTACCAGAGGTGGTTCGAGGCAGAGGGGCAAGCGCAGCTGACCGCGGCAGGTACGGCGTGTGTACGGTTTTGTTATGAAGTTCCCAACCCCCCCCTCCCCCCCGCTCTTTTTTATGCACTAACGGCTTTCCACCGTTCTCCTGTTACTGTATTTTGCAGGGAATCTGAAGAAGCCTCCACCTGAAGTCGTCTTGCGGTGGATATCTCAGGCCTGGCGGGCAGTGCCGTCCGACCTCATCACGCGCGCCTTCCTCACCTGTGGCATCAGCAACGCACTCGACGGCAGCGAGGACAACCTCGCCATGGCGCACAGGCGGACCCAGCTGACAGCGGAGGTGGATGTCGACGACGACATCATCGCCGACGGCTTCTTTGGCAACAACTGCCAGGAGCCCGAGTCTGACGATGAGGAAGATTAGGAGGGGTACTGGCTGATGCATGTTACCTAGAAGTACCCCGGCTAGACTAGGTAGTTGTAGTTAAGCAACATGATGATTTAGTTGCTATGGAAAATGAGGTTTAGTTGAATCTTTTGTAATGCCTCCAATGTAAGGTTAACGGATGCGCTTATAATAAGTACAGAAATTTTAGGGGGTGCGCTTATAATCGAGTTCCGGCCATAGGCGCCATGCTCCAGATAGAGGCGCCGGCGCCGTTAATCGGACGGCGCCTATATCCGGGGCGATACGGTATTATACGCGCATGCGCGTATGGCCAATCCTCATTTACAAGCGCCCCCCCTAAAAAAAATCGATTTTATTATAAGCGCATATGCGCTACTATCCGGGGCGATACGATATATTTAAGGGGGTACATCTAAAACTCTCAGTACCCCCTTCCTTTCCCTAAGCACCCACCCACCATTTTCCTTAAAAGAGAAGGGAGAAGCAAAAGCAAGGCAAGGCAAGTTGCACCGATTGCTACCACTTGCAGTGACGTAACCTTCAAGGACGCAGTCAAGCGACACTTGCCGTGACCGCTGATTTTCCATGTTTCTACGGTATTATTTAGTCCTCCATAAGAGGCTACACTCGCTACTGCTATTCCAACATCAGACAACACAGGAAGCGCCTAGAAGAGGGAAACAATTCTCATATTGGTAGAACCAATTGCAGTGCCGTTATCAATTCTCATAGGAAGTAGTCAATAGTTGCGACAGAAGGACATAGAAGAGGAGGAAATCAAACTTGGCAACTGATAGATCGGCTCCCATCGGGCAAGCCCTGCCTGGTTGTTGATGAGAAAAAAAAGAAATACACCAGAGGAAATGAGAAATGAGGGATGGCCTTAGGTACAGGGTGGACTGAAAGGTGTAATGGCGCACCATTGAAATGGATTACCGAAACACACAATGCAAACGATCCATGTAAGACAACATGCAAACCACGAAATGATTTGTGAAGGTTTGGCAACTTACGATCTTGCCTGCGCAACCATTCGATCACCCATCGAGCGCGATGAAATCAGGCTGGAGGGGTCGCAGTTATCTCCTCTGTATATAATCACGTAGAAGCAACCCTGAACACCCCCGATGTTATCCACTGAGTACGCAAATGTGCCGAACCCAGCAACCTCCTTTGGGATTTGATTGCAGCCAAACTGTAAGCGGAAGGTGTACGGCTTAGATGCATTGCCCCTGGCATTACGGTCCCGGAAAAGCGTCAAACTGCTCGCAGCCACTTGGTCCGGCAAACCTGAGAATGGATGGCACAAGTAGCAAGGGAGTTGTGGAGCACGGATGGCAGGGAACGAGAAGGAAGGGCCATGGGAAAAGGGCAATGAGGGCAAAATGCAGACATGCGTGCAGATGAGGCGGTAATGAATTTTACTCTGGATGCACTCTGTTATGGTCATACCATACCCCGGAGGGCACTCGCTTGTGAGTCGACTCAGAAGTCCCTCAAAACAGAGAGTTTGAAGAATGCAGCAGTGGATCTTACATTGGATGCATTTGGTCGACGTCATCCCATGGCCCAGAGGGCACTCGCAGCATGGATGGCACCTCCTCCCACAAGGGACTCGCAGAAATAGAGATGTCGATGGTTTTACAGGTGCCTCAAAGAAGAAATAGCAAGCGGAGTTATTGATTCTCACTCTAGATGCACTCCATTGAGGTCAACCCATAGACCGAAGAGCACTGGCAGTATGGCAACTCCGTCTCATTGATTCAACAATGAGTCAGGCAAACGCAGCTTGTCATCTCAGGGAGAGGGAGGAGGGGGGGAGGGGGGGCAGACGATTGAATCTTACCCTTCTTGCATCCAGTGGCGGTCATCCCATACCCCGAAGGGCACTCGCAGTATGGCACCATGGGCTTCACGGCACTTGTAGTTTGAGCAGGGACGGTCTTGCAGGTGGCTTCAGAAGGGCATGTGCCACAGGGTGAGTCTGAGCAACGCAGCAAGCAGGAGAGGCACACCATACGGCAAAGAGACGGCGATTTGAGCACAGAAAATGGGTTATTGAGGCGCCTCAGGGGTGAGTTTGAGCAAAACCAGCAAGCAAGGGGGATGCACGGTACAGCAGAAAGTTGACAAATGAGCCCGGGGATTTTGGAGTGCAGCAAATGATAGAGGTTGTGGGAAACGAGTGTGGATGGGATGGGTTGGGATTGCAGGAAACTGGACGACATGCTTACTCCCTTTGCAAGAGGAGAATGTGCGTGGATGGGGGAGCAGATGGGTGTGGATGGGGGAGCAGATGGGTGCGGATGGGGGAGCATGGGTGCGGATGGGCTTGATTGGAGGAACAGATTGGGGGTGCAGAAAGCTGCAAGGCATGCTTACTCCATTCGCAAGAGCGGACTCCATCGGCGCTGGTCACACAAACCCCATCCGGTTCGCAACCCAACACGGCACAAGCTGAGTCTGATGAGCGTGCATGGCAGGATGGGGTGGACGAAGGGGGAAACAGAAACAACGGGGATGATGCTCGAGAGAGATAGAGAAATACAGCAGGTGAAACATGTACGATAGCAGTCTCAACCGAGGTGCCATGGGGCAAGCGGGTGGGTGGGTGGAACATGCATGGTTACAGCTCAACCAAGTAATCTGTACGTTGATTTTCCACCCTCCAGGCGAGCACAACCACATAAACTCACCGATGCAGCGCAGTTCATTGGGAGGCATCTCGTAGTCTGCGTCGCACTCGCAGGTGGGATCACCGTTTTCCTTCCTCACGCACTTGCCATTGGCCCCGCAATTCACCGCATCACAGTTGTCTGGGAAAAAAAATGATGAAGGGCAAGAAAAAAGGTAACATCATATTGTAATACAATAAGATTCAAGTGTTGATAGTCAAGGGCAGCGGAGTCGGATATGCATGAAAGGTGTTTACTTCTGCAAGAAGTTGAGTTGAGAGGAAGCCGGCTCTTCTGGGTTTCACTTCTCGGTTTGCAACGCAAGGCACGTGCTCTCTGTGGCGCTCTTCGAACTCACCAATGCAAGAGAGCATGTCATTAGACGGCTTAACGCCCATGTTGCAGGTGCCAAGCTTTCAGTGATGCAATTCAGTAACTCTTTCAAGAGTGTTAAGAGAGGGAGGAGCCAAGCTTCAAGATATAGATTTGAAATGCGAGGTGTGCCCACTGTGTTGCTATCCCCCACCACTCACCAATGCAAGAGAGCCCATCTGAAGACGCCTTAAAGCCCGTGTTGCAACTACAAAGTGGCTTTCCGTTTGCATCCTTCATGCAGTTGCCGCCAGGGCCACATTTCACTGCATCACATAAGTCTGTTGAAGAAGGAACCCATGCAATTTGAAGGATATCAACACTAGAAATGAAAAAATCAAGATGCTAACAAACAAATGTCTCAGAGCTGAACATGCACACAATCCAGTAACTTTTTCAACAGTGTTAAGGGAGGAGGCCAAGCTCCAAGAAATGGATTTGAAACGCAATACATGAACACTGCGTTGCTTTTCTCCCACTCACCAATGCAAGAGAGCCCGTCAAAAGACGACTTAAAGCCCGTGTTGCAACTACAAAATGGTTTTCCGTCTGCATCCACCGAGCATTTGCCGCCAGGGCCACATTTCACTGTATCACATAAGTCTGTAGAAAAGGGACCCATGCAAGTGGAAGGATATTTACATAGGAAATGAAAGTATCAAGGAGATGTTACAAGCAGCGTACCAAGGCAAGTGCCATTGCTGACAGCGAAGCAGGAGTTGCAAGCACAGGTGAGCGGATAGAGCAGGAGATACAAGGAGATGCCACAAGCAGCGTACCTAGGCAAGTGCCATTGATGGCAGGAAAGCAGGAGTTGCATGGACAGGTGACCAGAGGGAGCAGGGGAGACAAAAGGGTACCACTAGCAGCGTACCTACGCAAGTGTCATTGACAGCAGAAAAGCCCTGGTTGCATTGGCACGTGACGCCCTTGCCGTCACTCGTTGGCATGCACGTGGAGTTGATGGGACACGTGGCCTGCTGGCAGGTGATTTCTGGTAGCATGGGTAAGAGAGACACGTGGGTGGCACAGAAACACGTGGGTGGCAGAGACACATGGGGTGAGATGTTGCGTTGCGGGTAAGATTAACAGCGTGCAGAGAGGAGATTCAGGCAATGCACCCTGGCATGTGAAAGCTTAGAGATGTGCGCAGTGCGGCAGAGATGTGCGCAGCGCAGTGAAGATGTGTGCAGCGCGGCAGAGATGTGTGCAGCGCGGCAGAGATGTGTGCAGCGCGGCAGAGATGTGTGCAGCGCGGCAGAGATGTGTGCCAGCATGAGGGAACATAGAGATTTGAGCAATGCATTTTGGAATCACCTGCGTGCTGGCAGGTGATGTGTGCAGCATAGGGGGAGCACAGAGCGGGATGCTGCATGGCTGATGGAAACACATGCTAGAGGAGCCATCTCTCATGGAAAGTCACTCATGGACGGTGCCAGAGAAACTCCCTCACATGGAAGGGATGAGATGTGTGTGGCACGGTGGCAAGGCGGCAAGGACGCAAGACGGCGGGGAGGAAAGGAGTCAACGAAGCAATGAGGCAGCAGACAAGGAGGCACGGGAGCAAGGAGGCACGGAGGCAAGTAAGCACGAGGGCAAGTATGCAAGGAGGCAAGGAGGCAAGGCGGGAGAGAGGCAAGGAGGCAAGGCGGGAGAGAGGCAAGGAGGCAAGGCAGGAGAGAGGCAAGGAGGCAAGGCAGGAGAGAGGCAAGGAGGCAAGGCAGGAGAGAGGCAAGGAGGCAAGGCAGGAGAGAGGCAAGGAGGCAAGGCAGGAGAGAGGCAAGGAGGCAACGCACCACTCTTGCAGGAGACAGAAGCCCATCGGGGAATCCTCTTTGAGCTGCACGCAGGGACGCCAGCAAGCACATTCAGACGAAACATGAGCAACGCATTCAAATGAGACTTTATGTGAGGAGGGCGGCACAACCCAAGGCACGACTGTGGGTTACGGCGACTGAGGCATTGTTACAGGGAACTCACTCCCCCGCACCCATCACCCACCTGCCCTGCACCCATCACCCATCTGTCACTACTGGTCTCATAACCCGGCCTGCTCACACATCATATCACACACACCTGGGCACGTGGAAGAATCGGCGCAGAGCGGCAAACTGCGGCTGCAGCACCTCATCCAGCGCCCTGCCCTTGCAGGCCGGGTCGGCAAAGAATTGCAGCTGCTTGCACGCCACACCCGCCGGCCGGTCCTTCTGACGCGATCCGCCGCCGCCCTTGCTGCTGCCTGTGAGCCCGTGCCACCACACCTGCACGTCACTCGCCGCCTTGCGCGCCGCCCGGGGAAGGCTGAAGCAGTGGAGGGCGTGGAAGGTGACGGGGAGGGTCAAGCCCGGCACCGTGATCTGCGTTGCCACGTGCACCCTCGCGCCCACCGCCCCGCGTGTGCTGCTGTCACCCTCCGCCAGGCCTGAGAGGGGAGAAAGGGGGCCGATTTTTAGTTTGACTCAGAAATCACCACGAGCAGCGGAGGGAGTCGAAGGTGACTGGGAGGGTCACGCCTGACACGGTGATCTGCGTCGCCACCGGCCTGAGAGGGGAGAGAGGGAGCAGAGGGGTGAGGGGGAGAAGAGGGATGAAGACGATGGAGAGGGGCGTGAGGAAGCAGGGGGATGCGAGGAAAGGGGCAGAATGTGCGTGCTTCTCAGGTGCAGTAACGCCTGTTGCTGCGTCTAAAAGTATTCTCAGACGCGAATACGTCTGCGAGCTTACACTAGGGCCGAAAGACTTCCACTGCGCCTGTACAAATCACCCGCTTTTGGCCCAGCGGTCTAGCTGGAAGTTGTATCAGCGGCCCTTGGGAATGACACTGAGCAGCGAGGAGCCAGGAGCGAGAAGCAAGTCACCGCATGTGACAGCAAGGGCAAGGAGCAGAAGCAGCGCGGTGGGAGAGGCGGCCATGGCGGTCAAGAGGCTACGTCAGGTGGGGTGATTCTTGTGCAGCGGAAAAAGTAGACGAGGAAATAAAAACAGCGCTGCTGCCACTACGGTGTACGGCACGCAGGCAAAGTACTCCTCAAATCGACAGGCTTTGAGGTGACTTTTGAGGTGTCTCAAGGTGATTCTTGGGCAGCGCGCCGATGCCACTGCGGTGTACCACACGCAGGCAGCGTGCTCCTCAAGTCGACCTGCTCTCAGATGAGTGACGCCCGTCGCACGCGTGAGTCACGCGCAACGAGTGACGCAACGAGTGGCGCAGGGAGTAGCGCAATGAGTGGCGCAATGAGCAGCGCAAAGGGTAGCGCACTGTCAGGGAAGATGGCTTTGAAACTGTTAGCGGAAGGCGTTGAAACGGTACGGTACAGCTCAATGAAACTGGTACAGCTGTTACATACTGTCCTATAACTTGTGGTAAAGCTAGAGTTTCGGTAGTCGTATAGCTGTTAAGGATACTCTCAAACAGTGCGAGGATATGGCACCGAAGCAGCGGAGGAGATGATTCCATGGCTGCGCTGGCGGGTGGTTTATAGACAAAGCTCGGACGCTCCCCAATCCCCAAGGCTACTAGACTGAGGCGCTGAGAATACCATTGACGATTTGGGTGGCGTGAATTCGGAATTATTGATGCATTTGGAGATTTGGATGCCGAGTCGATCGCACTGTTTATCGAATTTCTATCCTTTTGAAACCCGCGCCTGCCAGACACAAAGCGACCGACTCGGCATTCGCCTGCAGTGTCGCAACAGGCGCAGCAGTCGCCTGACGGACTCGGCAGTGGCCTGGCGCTGGGAGCTTGAGCGAAGCAACAGACAGCATTAGAGCCAGGCCTGTCGTTTCGTTTTGGGCCCCTCGGACAAATCAGGGGGCCCTGCATGTATGACCCTGTATTTAGCAGGGTTCGGGCGAATCTCGGCCCTTTAGGCTTCAGGGCTGGAAAATTTTCCTCCCTTTGGCGCGGAAAATTCTGGAGCCCCATTTCAACTTACCAAGCTTACAACTACGTTTGAGATGAACCACAAGCAACACGACATAAGAGAATTAGTTAGCATCATATCACTACGCACGCTTTGCAGGCTTCATAGCCTTTGCAGAGCAGATGATCTTGTGCACTTCTACCCACGCCACAGGATAGTTCTTGTGCACACTTACCCCTTGGTCTACCCACTCCACAGAGAGCGAGCTGCGACTTGTTCAAGCACAAGTTCTAGTTTGAGTTGAATTTGTGGCCCAACCACGTAACTCGAAAATTGCCAGTTGGATGCAATCAGGTTAGAAACCAAGGGGGAAGGAGAGGGAGGAGTGTTGGGGGAGAGGGGAGGGGAGGAGAAGGGGGGCTCGAAATATTTTGTTCCAGGGCTCGCCCAAAATCTACCCTTTACACACCAGGCTGGAGCCCGAAATCAGCCCTGTAAGGAATCAGGGCCAGAATATTTCCAGCCCATCAATTTCAGTTTCCAAGGGCAACTCGGCCCTGGAATTCAAGGTCCAGCAGGGCAAACGCCCTGCAAGCGACGGCATAATAGAGCTCAGCGGACGAAAAATGCCGCCCAATTTCGCGGGCCAGAACGGACAACCCCCCTCCTCGGGGTTGTCGACCCCACGACGACCACCGCGTGGAAAGCCCAGGTGAGCTGCCTCGGCCCAGTGCTGGTGACCCCTCGGGATTGTCGACGACCTGTCGACCTTGGGTTCCGCTGAGACAATCCCGAGAAGGTCGTCTCAGCCGCGTGACGTCATCCCAGCTCGACTCGTCGGGCCGCGATGATCGCCACGCGGCCATAAAAGGACGTGCGAGATCGACCCCTGGATGGCGGGGCCATCGAGGTCTGCCAGGGTGGCCACGACGGGCCAACGGAGGGTCGGGGTGGTTCGCGTGGGAAAATTTCGCGCCCAGGCGTGGCCAGGTCGGTGCGTACCACACGGCCATCATCCAATGGTTGCTCACATGCCCTAGGCGAAATCGGACCGTCCATTACCTCTGGCTAGGTGCACTGGATGCTGATGCGTCGGGAATGTCGGCGTCGACCAGAAGGTCTTCGTCGTGATGCCACGCGGCAGTCTATCCCGCCCTGGAACTGCACCCAGCTTGGGACCACGCCACGTACCGCACGATAGAGCCAGCGTGTAACACCCGTGAAAGGCGCATCACATGCGAAGCGCTTCAAGCAAGCAGCCATGCACGCCCGGTGCCACGTCGGTCACGGCGCCGCCGCACGAGCGTACATGCATAGCTGCGTCCTGCACAGGGGTTTGCGTGGAGCGCCAAGTGGAGCGGAGTCGCTCACGACCATACCAATCTGGGCTCCCATTGTAGGTCGCTCATTCTGCCTGCCGTTCTGCGTGCGTTTCATCCGTTAGCTGGCACTTAGATTTTTTTGGTCGTTCCCGTGTCGGCACACGTGGAACGTCGGCGTCGTCAGAATAGTCAGACGTCGGGGCCGCCGTCTCGTAGTGTTGTCTGCGATGCCGACCTATCAGATGCCGCCGAGTTAGAAACGCCATGTTGCATTTCACCGACCTCACCACACCGACTTCCCATCGCGAGACCCTAGGTCGCGGTATCATGGCCGGAGCACAGCCTCGCTCGACACCGCCGCAACCGCAGCCACCACCCGCCGACGTCGACATGACGGACGTCCCAAACCCCGCTAGCCAGGCTGAGGATGTCCCCCCGGTAGACCGTACACCGACCAGTAACCCCTCGTCGACGCTGCCCCTGCTTTACGATCTCGACGCCCTGGCCCAAATCCCGAAGGGAGAGTTCACCAAAGACATTCCACCCGCGCCCATAGGGGAGTTCACGAAACCACGCAAAGACACGTCGGCGCCCACAAATGCAGAGGAGGCTGGGCCGTCGTCGGTGCCGGACGGAGCGGGCGACCAGGATGAGGGAATGGAAGACTATTCCTCGGCGAGCGACGAGGACGACGACGCCGACCCGCGGCCCCAACGTGGCAGAGGTCCGAAGACGTTGGAAGAAAAGCTCAGGTCGGAACGTGCGCTGATTGAGGAACTTCTGGACGAGGACGAGCTAGAGGATCTGCTGAACGCGTCTGTCCCTCGAGAACAGTGGAAGGCGGCCGACTTCGTAGAGGAAGATATGGTGTACGCGTGCGTCGACGTGCTCGTGATGGATGCGTTGCGCCACCTGAAAACCATCGAGGCTAAGAGCACGCTCCAGTCCTACATCTCATGGATCTACCACTACAAGAGGTGGGCGGCGAAGATGCTCAAAGAGATAGGCGACAAGCTGCCGATCGGGGAACGAACTAGGCACGTCGACGAGATCGGGCACTGGATCCACTGCAACAAGAGCAAGGATTGGGACAACCCGAAGGTGGTCAAACGGAAGCACATATGGCCCCAAGGTCACTCCGACGCGGCTGCGCGCCTACGTCAAGTTCATGAGGCGGGAGTTCAAGATCGACGCCGAGACGAACGCGCCGGTGCCGTCCTACACGGTGCACATGATCCTCGGCCGCATCAAGGCATGCCAGATGGCGGCGAGGGTGGAAGCGACGCTGTACAAGGAGAAGGAGTTGGGCATCATGCGGGAAATCTCGGTGGTCCGGTCGGAGGTGCGGGTCATGGTCCGCACCAAAAACCAGAGGGACATCAAGTAAGTTGGCATGAAGCGCCGTTTTCATGTCGGTGTCGATTTGTTCCCATCGCCCAAATAATCCTACTGCCGTATTGTTCTGTTGACAGTAATTGCGCCGACCGTCGACGCGGCACCATCGGCGACACATACACCGCCGAACAGTTCCGCCAGATCATGACGAGGGTGCTGCCGGCTTGGGCGGCGTCGGCATGGGCCCCGCATTTCACCACTCCTTTGCAGACGCTGTGGAGGTTTCTTCTCGTCAAGGTGCTCACGCTGCTCTCCCACCACAGCCTCATGCGCGGTGCAAGCATCCGCGAGATCACGCTCCCCGACATCTTCTTGTACCGACTGGCGAGCACCTCGTCGGTGAACCCGGATAACCAGCCGGTCGTCATGGTGGTCGCCGCGCGGAACTCGAAGACGTCGAAGGATGCGCGTCTTCAGCAGAGCTATGCGGCGCGGCACCTTGAAGCGGAATTGTGCGCCGTCGGCGAGACCGGACTGTGGCTACACTTCATCCTCGACCAGATCGGCCAGTTTCACGGCGTCGGCGTCATCCCGCCGGTCGACACCAGCACACGCGAGCGCTGGTACAAGAAGCACCTGTTCTTCGCCCGCAACGACCCCGAGCAGGGCGAACTCTCCGCTGCCAGCCACCAGCGATGGACGAGGCAGATGTGGAAGACGAACGGGGTGTTCTGCAAGCGGAACGTCCATGCCGCTCGGGCAGGCGGGGCGCAGGAGCTGGCCATCAACGGTACGCCTCGCGCCGAGATAGCCGAGCTGGGTCACTGGGCTCTCGACAAGATGACTCGAGCCTACATCACAGCCATTCCCGTCGGTGTGGTTATGAAGAAGGCCGGCTATTCGGGCTACACGCAGGACTACTTCTTGGGGCGCAGCAGGGTGGAACCGTCGGACGAGCTTCTCAAGCTCATCGCCGAGCACATCTTCCCCGGCGTCGACGAGCTCCTTAAGAATGTATGTCGATCGGTACCGCATGTATGCCTCGCATGGCACTGTACTTTCAACCACGGTAATCACCAAGCTCTGTTGTCTAATTGCAGGCGGAAGAACTCGCGAAGAAGGGGTCCGACGCCGACGTTGCTGCCGTGCATTTCTGGCGCACCCTCCTGATGTTCCGCCGCATTGTCGCCGAGGACCTCGCTGTGAAACTCGTCCGCACGCCTTGGCACCCGTACGTCCAGTATTCCAAGCTCTGCCGGATTCCCCTCTTCCAGCACTGGGCGAAGAGGGTGGAGAAGACCGACACCGAGACCATCAAAAAGCGGCAAGACCCAACCCTCATCCAGCCAGAGGTGAGTCATCTTTATGTCGACATCGCCATGAGCACTGTGCCCGATGACCCCAACTCACCTGCACTGTTATTCGCCGACCATTGCAGGAGATATCGGTCTGCCATGACGCCCAGTACGTGGTCGTCTCCCTCACAACGACGCTGAAGCTCGAGAGGGAGCGGTCAGCGGTCGAGAAGATCGACCTCGAGGAGAAGCTCGAGCAGCGCGACGCTACCATCGCGTCGATGACGGACGAGATAACCCGCCTCACCGAGGCTCTCCGCGTTTCAGAAGCTCGTAGGATGCCGGAGGCGCCGCCAGCTGCGAACGACCAGTCGCCGAGCGACGGTGGCTCCGCGGAGTCGGCAAGCAGGGGTGACGGAGCCAAGAAACCCAAAAAACCCCCACAGACGGTCGAGGAGGCTAGCTACGAGCTGAACGTGGTTCAGCCTTGGCGGAATGCAACGACCGTGAGGGACGCGTGGCGCCTCTGGACCTCGTGCACCAGCGCCGACACCCGTCGTCTGTGCGACAGGTTCTTCGAGCCGGGATTCGTCGACCGCCACACCCTCCTCGACGGAGCCTCGCAGGGAGCACACGGGACGAGGGTGCGCCGCATGATGAAGGTCATCGATGCCGTGAGGGAGCTTCGCAGGAGCGACGGCGAAGCCGACACGGAAGCCGTCGTCGACGCGCTTAACACGATAGCGGCGCCTGGCATTGGGACCTTCTCGGATGCCCTCACGGTGCTCAACAAGGGAAACAAACCGATCTATGCCGGACAGGGTAAGGGCGTCAAGGGGCTCGGCAAGACGGACTATTCCAAGCTTCGTCTCGCCTGTGCGCTCGTGGCGCGCGGGTTCAAGCCGGAAGACTGGGTCTCCCGCCTGTTCCCGGACACATGGGAGGAGCAGATGAAGAAGGCGTTGGCCGACCTGGCCCGCGAAAACGACGCCGGGCAAGCTCCTCCGACCAAGAAGTCGGCCAATCGCAAGAAGACCGCGTGAACGCTCACAAGCACCATGCGACTGTGGGCTGCTGCATGTTGTAGTTGTTGTTCCAGCATGCATGTGATTCGTACTGATAAGGTTGTCGACTTTGTGTTTCTCACAATGATTCTGTCGTTCAAACAAAGCATCATTCCCCATTCATCAAGTAGACAATCAAGTTGACAATCACATCATTCGGGTTTAGGGTAAGCATCCTACGTAAAGTCGACAATCACATCATTCGCAAGTAGACAATAATTCATCAAGTAGACAATCACATCATCCTACGTAAAGTCGACACGCATGCACACAACGAAACACAAACATGTAGCATCTAAGGGATCCGACAGACGAAACACACAAGACCGATATTGACCATACCAACATCCAATCCTAGCAAGCCGTCGACCTAGCCCAACATGTTCCCCTCGCCGACTACGCCGCCCTGCTGTCCTTGGCCTTCTTCGCCTTCGGGCCCTTCTTCCCCGCGCTGTCCTTGGCCTTCTGGCCCTTCTTCCCCGCGCTGTCCTTGACCTTCGTCCCCTTCTTCCCCGTGCCGCCCTTGGCCTTCGTCCCCTTCTTGCCCCTCTGACCCTTCCTCCCCCTGTTGTCGAGGTCAGCCTTCATCTGCGCGTCAATCGGCACCGCGATGCCCCTCGCTTTGAGTTTCGGCCCGGCGACGGGGCACATTCCCCAGAACGCCATCGTCTCGACCGTCGCTCTTGCGATCACCACGGCATCGACTCCAGCATTCCCCCCAGGATAAGCCCTATCAAGGGCGGTCCTCTGGAGTGCTGACGCGACGTTGTAAGCAACCTCTCCCAGGGGGCGGTCCCTGTTGATCTCGGCGTTCAGCACCGCCTCCATGACTTTGCCGAATACATCGGCGGTCTGCTGGCTCGCTCCGCCCAAAAGCGCCGCCGCCTTCCCTTCCTCCACAGCATCCTCCACCTTGGCATCGCCGTTCTCGACGAAGCACCACACAGCGCATGCGGATGCTCCTAACGCCCATGCCGCCATATCCGTCTTCTCGTCGCTGTCTCCCTCCTTTCTCGCCGCTGTCGCAGCGGTCTTCCCATACGCCGCGCTCATTGCCACGCGACCTATCATCGCCGACATCATGGACGCCGACTTTTCCCGGCCCTCCTTGGTGTTGGGATCGACTTGGTACCATACGGCTGGCAGGAGCGTGGCGAGCAGACCATCGCCTGTGGACTTGTAATGGCGATACTTGTCGAGGATCTCATTCAGCCTGTCACGCGAGCACGTCAAATAGGGCGAACATTAGTGACCACGACAACGACATCATCACTTGCGTCGACTTTGGGCAGGGGGATTGCCGACTTACCGGGTCTTTGGAAGAAGAGTACCCCGGGCCCACATCACCGTCCACATCCCGGTCGGCAAGATCCTGACCTCCTCCCACACCTCCTTCCACCTCTCCAACTCGGCGCTGTCCAGGACGGTGAGCTCGTTCATGAGCACCTTGCTCACGAAACCGTCGTAGACGACGAACGCGATGGAGTGCACGTACGCGAGCTCCATCTTCTCACGCGACTTGCCGATGTATCGATTGATGCCGTGCACCTTAATCTCGCCGACCCACCCTTGCTTGTCACCCGAGGTATCGTGTCGGATGCCATGACCCCTCCTCTCCTTGCCCTTCCCCTCCTCTTCCTCATCCTCCTCCTCCTCCTCCTCCTCCTCCTCTTCCTCCTCCTCTTCCTCCTCCTCCTCCTCCTCCTCCTCTTCTTCCTCCTCCTCGACCACCTCCACCTCCTCGACGTCCTCCTCCTCCTCCTCCTCCGCCTTCCTCTTTCCCTTTCTCGCCTTCGACGAACCCTCGCCGACTGCCTTCTCCTTCCCCTTTCTCCCCGTCGACGTACCCTCGCCGAGCGACATCTCCCCCGTTTTGCCGCCACCATATTTGTCCGCCGCCGTTTCCGCCGCCTTCATCTCCGACTTCTCCCGAGACTTCCTCTGCGAGCCCGCCTTCCCCTTCCGTTTCGCCTTTCCATCGCCGACAGCATCACCGGTCGCACTAGGCTCTGCTGGACTGCCGACGGGAACCGCCGAAGGCTCCACATGTGCCGTGTCGGAGATTGCCAGAGTTCGGGGCATGGCTGCATCCAGATGGGCCTGTATGGCTGCGATATCCGCGTCTGGGGGCGTCTGCTCGACGGGGCCGCCGCCGGTGGCAAGGGCGGCACGAACGCCCTTCTCCGCCGCCTTCTCAACCTCAGCTGCCACAGGGGTGGGTGGTGCGACATACGCCGACGACGGCTTGGTGCCAGAGCCTGATGCCTGCTGGGTTGGCGCGGTCGACGCTAGCGCGCTCAGCTGGGCGTGAAGCAACGCGTATTTTGGGTCAGCAGGAGTACGGGCGGCGACGGCCGGCACTGCCCGTGGCACACTCGCCGAGGGGACGTCGAAAGCTAGGGGAGGCTGTTGAACAGCCTTGTGGCCGGCAAGGAGCCTGAGCTGCTCCTTGAGCGCGTCCGCAACTGCCGCCCCTTTCCCCGCAACTTCGGCAGGTCGCCCGGCAGACGGTGCGGCCGGAGGGCGTGCACCCGCGGGAGGCTGGTGAGGAACCGCCGACGCCTCCGCGACCCCGGCCGTCGGGCCCTTGCCAGTTTTCGCGGCCCCGCCTGTGGCCGTTTTGGCAGCCGCCTTGTCGCTCTGCCCTTTCTCACCGCTACCCTGTCGAGGTGGCTTCTCGCCGACCGAAGGCGGAGCCATTGGCCGTGCGTCATCAGCGGCATGCTCGTCGGCGGGACCCCCATCACCCTTCCCCGTGCTCGTCGCTCGAACCTCTGCCCAGTGCTTCTTGAGCATGTCGAGCACGCTCTTCCCCGACTGCTTCCCCGAACTGCCGTCGCTGGCTCCCTTGCTCCCGTCATCGGCGCCGCGACTACTCCCTGCTCCCTTGCCCCGCCTCGCGCTCGCCGAATCGTCGACGTGGCCTCCCCCGCCGCCTCCCTCACCGGTCCCCTTGCTCTCGTCGCCGGCGACGCGACTACCCCCCGCTCCCTTGCCCCGCCTCGCGCTCGCCGAGTCGTCTCCGTCTCCCCCCCCGCCGCCTCCCTCTCCGGCCCCTTTGCTCCCGTCGCCGGCGACGCCACTACCCTCCGCTCCCTTACCCCGCTTCCCGTTCGCCGAATCGTCTCCGTCTCCCCCCCCGCCGCCTCCCCCCCTCTTATGACCCTGCCTCTGGCCGGCGTCGTTTGCCGACGGCAAAGACCCACGCCGAGCAGTCGCCACCGTGCCGACCACCTCGGTCATAATCTTCTATCCGGAGGCGAGGAAGGACTGCTGCGTGACCTCCGTCACCGCCTTCAGCAAATCCGCCTTGAGGGAATCCAGGAACTCGGCCGACAAGGCCTGCGCTGGGGCGGGCGGCGGCGGCTGCTGCACGACGAGACGGGGAGCGACGGCGGCGGCAATGTTGGTCTGCTCGGCGGTGATGTATTTAATGACCGTCTCCTCCAACCCCTTCCTCGCCTCACCCACCTCAAACGTCACGTGGTCGACCACAGTGTCCACCGCGGTGGCGCGTGCGACCGCGAATCGTCCCTCGGGGGCGTCCAGATCCAGCAGGAGCTGCCTCGCTAGCTCGGCGAAGCGCTGGCCCGATTGAATTGCGCTGTTCATGTTGTCGGTGAGGCCCTCGGTGATTTCCGCCGCCATGGTCGACGTGGCCTCGTTGAGGCGCTCCACCGATTTCCGGTCGGTGTCGGCGACCTGGGCGGTCAAACCCTTCAGCTTCTCGAGGAGCCCAGCAACGGCCGCCGCCAAGCTGTCGACCCGCCCCGTCTGCTCACCGAGCCGCCGTTCAAGGCGTGCATTTTCGGCACGCAATCGCCTGTTCTCCGCTCTCAGCTGCTCGACGACGTCGGGCGGCGCCTGCCGCCCAGCAGCGGTGGAACCGGGATGACCGCTCGCCGCCTTCTTCCTCCTAGACCGCTCCCCCCCGGCCTTCTCTGCGGTAGCATCGGTGTGCACTTCCACGCCCTTCTGCTTCTAGGCCGCGGCGTTATCCCTTTCACCTACCTCGACCATCCCACTCCCCCCGTGAGCCGCCTCCTCGCCGACCTCGCCGAGATCCGCCGTCGTACCCTTTCCCTCCCCTTCGTCATTCTCCACATCCGCCGGTCTCCCACCCGTTTCCGCCTCTCCTTCTGCAACGTACCCCTCCGCCATTTCCACGTCCACCACCTCTACGCCCTGCTCCTCGTCTTGCTGCTCCTCCTGGGGCTGCCTCTCTCGCTCCTGCGTCTCCTGTCCCTGCTCCTGCTCCTCCTCCGACTCCGACCCCGACACCGACTCCTCCGAGCCCCCCTCAACCTCACGTTCCTCCTCACGATGCTGGACCCCATCATCATCCCCGTGATCAGTCTCGTCCTGGTGCTTCTCCTCGGTCCCGGCCACCCCATGTCCTGCTGCCGCATCGGCCTCGTCGACGCCGCTACCCGGCTTCCCGACCGAGGTGCCAGGCTTCCCGGCCTCGTCGACGCCGCCACCCCGCTTCCCGACCGAGGTGCCAGGCTTCCCGGCCTCGTCGACGCCGCCACCCCGCTTCCCGACCGCTGGGGCACCTCCGCCAGCTTGGGGCGCCGACTGAACCTCCTCGCCGTCGTCGTCACAGACGTCGGCCGCAACTACGTTTCGGCCCGACCGTATGAGCGCGACCTGCTTCTTGATGAAGGCTACCATCTCGATGCGCAGCCCCTTCAACCACGCAACACCGACCTTGTCCATGCTGGTGACACTGCGACGGAGGGCGCCGGCCAACCGATCCTTCCGCCTCACAGCCCAGAGCAACGCGCTCATTGCTAGCAGGCCGGAGCCCGCGTCCCCGTCCCGGACGGTGTCGGGCACTTTCTGCATACAGCAGAGGAGAGCGCTAATATGAGCACCGATATCGACATTCGCATCTCGCAAGGACAAATCGGCAGCTGCATCGCGCAAGGAAGTGACACCAAACCTTCGAAACTCACATCTCGAAGGGGTTCGTCGCAGTCGGCGAGCCTCGCATGCACCTCCTCCTCGGACGGCTTCGTCCACTCCCATTTCCTACCTTCGCGCCGAAGCTCGGCCATTACAGCCGCCCGGAAAAACCTGCAAAGCATGGCACAGACGGTCAGTTAGCACGGTGCACGCTCCGCATTGACAACGCAAGCGGCGTCGACTACACTATTGAGCTCACTCCAGCACGCGTTTCGCCTCTTTGATGTGCCACTCCTTCACAGTCTGCGGGTCGGCGTGCCGGATCGAGGTCCTGATCAACTGGCCCGATGCCTTCAACAAGTCGCCGGGGCACAGGATGATAATGACGCTGCAATGTGTTCCCGGAAGCGGTGCGATGCTGCACAGACAATGGACGTCGACATAGATCAGAACACATAATCGACGCAGGTTGCACCACACGCGCGACGACCCCGAACCAGCTCACCTCGATATCAGTGGGATAACCGCCACGTCGGCGTCAAAAACCTTCGCGAAGACGGTATGGTCCTTCCGACCCATCGCCGCCCTAAGGCGGCCGACACCTATCGACCACAGCCGCTGGTCCTTCTCCGTTCCGCGCAACCATGCGTGCCTGCACGCATGCATGATCAGGAGGAGTGCGTGAGGATGTGGTCGGGACGCCGGCAGATACTACGGTTGCGGCAATAACACGACGCATCGCCTACGCCGACCAGACACCTAACCTCGGCGCCACCTATGTTATCGACATCCATAATCCCTAAACCATGAGTCCGTCGACCTAAATGATGGGTATTATGAGACCACGCTAGGGCTATCGCCAGCATGAAATAACGACGCCGACATCCCTATAAGTCACTCACTTGAGGCCGAGTCCCAAGCAACGGGCGTTAAACTCTAGCATAGGGTTTGTCAGAACGGCGTAGTCGTGTTCCTCGAACTTGGATGTGAGTCCTCTACCGACGCTTAGATACAGGGGGAAGTCGCGCGAGGTCGGCGTCGCTTCGTCGGCTTTCTGGTCGGCCGCCATGGCGGGAGAGCGAGGATGCTATGCTACGGGCTAAGGGAAGAAACGGTGGGAGAATGGAAGGCGCAGAGGTGGGAAAAGAACATGAAAGAGAAACGAGAACGCGAAAATGAAGGGACACACCACCTCCAACGAAGAAAAGCCAGGCGGAGCCTCGCAGGCCCGGTTGAGCGTCGCCCAGGGGGCCGTGGTCCCTGGCTCGGCAGGGCTCATGCACAAGTGGCGTGGCACAAGTGCACCCTCGCCGCCGAGCCAGCAGGTCGACGTCACGTCCCCTGGCCTCGGTCGGCCAGGGGACGCAAATTCGCATGCACGCGGTGCGACGTTTCGGCACCACGTGTCGATTTCGCAGCGGGTCGCGAAAATTGTGCGCCTTGGTGCGAGAGACCCAGAGCTTCGCTCGAATTTCGGCGGGTACGAAATGTCGCATGCATGGAAAAAAAACGATGCGAAACGACGGGAGGGCACGTGGCGAAACCGCAACGGGTCGCAAAATTGTCGAGCGTCCCGAGGGGAGCCCCCTGATTTCGCACGGGCCTCGCCTGCCCGTACGGGCAGGCCGCGATGGGTTACTAGGACCTCGCGGGCAGGAGGGACGGGTGGGCTGCCTTCACGCTGGGGTTACTTTCCCTCGCGCGAGGTCTCGCCAGCTCGCCGCCCCCACCCGGTAACGTGGGTCGCTGTTCACATTCGGGGGGGGGTCCGCGGGGCGGCGGTCGTGCGCTCGGCCCAGCCCTGGGCCAGGCTGGCGGGCCCGCACGCGCGTCAGTCGCCCGCCTCGTCGGGCCCCCTTCCGTCGACCCCCCTCGTCGACCCTGGCAATTCGGCTCCGTCGACCGAATTCCGCTGGGATCTTCGGCATAATAGAGTCAGCGGACGAAAATTGCCGCCCAATTTCGCGGGCCAGAACGGACAACCCCCCTCCTCGGGGTTGTCGACCCCACGACGACCACCGCGTGGAAAGCCCAGGTGAGCTGCCTCGGCCCAGCGCTGGTGACCCCTCGGGATTGTCGACGACCTGTCGACCTTGGGTTCCGCTGAGACAATCCCGAGAAGGTCGTCTCAGCCGCGTGACGTCATCCCAGCTCGACTCGTCGGGCCGCGATGATCGCCACGCGGCCATAAAAGGACGTGCGAGATCGACCCCTGGATGGCGGGGCCATCGAGGTCTGCCAGGGTGGCCACGACGGGCCAACGGAGGGTCGGGGTGGTTCGCGTGGGAAAATTTCGCGCCCAGGCGTGGCCAGGTCGGTGCGTACCACACGGCCATCATCCAATGGTTGCTCACATGCCCTAGGCGAAATCGGACCGTCCACTACCTCTGGCTAGGTGCACTGGATGCTGATGCGGCGGGAATGTCGGCGTCGACCAGAAGATCTTCGTCGTGATGCCACGCGACAGTCTATCCCGCCCTCGAACTGCACCCAGCTTGGGACCACGCCACGTACCGCACGATAGAGCCAGCGTGTAACACCCGTGAAAGGCGAATCACATGCGAAGCGCTTCAAGCAAGCAGCCATGCACGCCCGGTGCCACGTCGGTCACGGCGCCGCCGCACGAGCGTACATGCATAGCTGCGTCCTGCACAGGGGTTTGCGTGGAGCGCCAAGTGGAGCGGAGTCGCTCACGACCATACCAATCTGGGCTCCCATTGTAGGTCGCTCATTCTGCCTGCCGTTCTGCGTGCGTTTCATCCGTTAGCTGGCACTTAGATTTTTTTGGTCGTTCCCGTGTCGGCACACGTGGAACGTCGGCGTCGTCAGAATAGTCAGACGTCGGGGCCGCCGTCTCGTAGTGTTGTCTGCGATGCCGACCTGTCAGATACCGCCGAGTTAGAAACACCATGTTGCATTTCACCGACCTCACCACACCGACTTCCCATCGCGAGACCCTAGGTCGCGGTATCATGGCCGGAGCACAGCCTCGCTCGACACCGCCGCAACCGCAGCCACCACCCGCCGACGTCGACATGACGGACGTCCCAAACCCCGCTAGCCAGGCTGAGGATGTCCCCCCGGTAGACCGTACACCGACCAGTAACCCCTCGTCGACGCTGCCCCTGCTTTACGATCTCGACGCCCTGGCCCAAATCCCGAAGGGAGAGTTCACGAAAGACATTCCGCCCGCGCCCATAGGGGAGTTCACGAAACCACGCAAAGACACGTCGGCGCCCACAAATGCAGAGGAGGCCGGGCCGTCGTCGGTGCCGGACGGAGCGGGCGACCAGGATGAGGGAATGGAAGACTATTCCTCGGCGAGCGACGAGGACGACGACGCCGACCCGCGGCCCCAACGTGGCAGAGGTCCGAAGACGTTGGAAGAAAAGCTCAGGTCGGAACGTGCGCTGATTGAGGAACTTCTGGACGAGGACGAGCTAGAGGATCTGCTGAACGCGTCTGTCCCTCGAGAACAGTGGAAGGCGGCCGACTTCGTAGAGGAAGATATGGTGTACGCGTGCGTCGACGTGCTCGTGATGGATGCGTTGCGCCACCTGAAAACCATCGAGGCTAAGAGCACGCTCCAGTCCTACATCTCATGGATCTACCACTACAAGAGGTGGGCGGCGAAGATGCTCAAAGAGATAGGCGACAAGCTGCCGATCGGGGAACGAACTAGGCACGTCGACGAGATCGGGCACTGGATCCACTGCAACAAGAGCAAGGATTGGGACAACCCGAAGGTGGTCAAACGGAAGCACATCTGGCTGCACGGCCCCAAGGTCACTCCGACGCGGCTGCGCGCCTACGTCAAGTTCATGAGGCGGGAGTTCAAGATCGACGCCGAGACGAACGCGCCGGTGCCGTCCTACACGGTGCACATGATCCTCGGCCGCATCAAGGCATGCCAGATGGCGGCGAGGGTGGAAGCGACGCTGTACAAGGAGAAGGAGTTGGGCATCATGCGGGAAATCTCGGTGGTCCGGTCGGAGGTGCGGGTCATGGTCCGCACCAAAAACCAGAGGGACATCAAGTAAGTTGGCATGAAGCGCCGTTTTCATGTCGGTGTCGATTTGTTCCCATCGCCCTAATAATCCTACCGCCGTATTGTTCTGTCGACAGTAATTGCGCCGACCGTCGACGCGGCACCATCGGCGACACATACACCGCCGAACAGTTCCGCCAGATCATGACGAGGGTGCTGCCGGCTTGGGCGGCGTCGGCATGGGCCCCGCATTTCACCACTCCTTCGCAGACGCTGTGGAGGTTTCTTCTCGTCAAGGTGCTCACGCTGCTCTCCCACCACAGCCTCATGCGCGGTGCAAGCATCCGCGAGATCACGCTCCCCGACATCTTCTTGTACCGACTGGCGAGCACCTCGTCGGTGAACCCGGATAACCAGCCGGTCGTCATGGTGGTCGCCGCGCGGAACTCGAAGACGTCGAAGGATGCGCGTCTTCAGCAGAGCTATGCGGCGCGGCACCTTGAAGCGGAATTGTGCGCCGTCGGCGAGACCGGACTGTGGCTACACTTCATCCTCGACCAGATCGGCCAGTTTCACGGCGTCGGCGTCATCCCGCCGGTCGACACCAGCACACGCGAGCGCTGGTACAAGAAGCACCTGTTCTTCGCCCGCAACGACCCCGAGCAGGGCGAACTCTCCGCTGCCAGCCACCAGCGATGGACGAGGCAGATGTGGAAGACGAACGGGGTGTTCTGCAAGCGGAACGTCCATGCCGCTCGGGCAGGCGGGGCGCAGGAGCTGGCCATCAACGGTACGCCTCGCGCCGAGATAGCCGAGCTGGGTCACTGGGCTCTCGACAAGATGACTCGAGCCTACATCACAGCCATTCCCGTCGGCGTGGTGATGAAGAAGGCCGGCTATTCGGGCTACACGCAGGACTACTTCTTGGGGCGCAGCAGGGTGGAACCGTCGGACGAGCTTCTCAAGCTCATCGCCGAGCACATCTTCCCCGGCGTCGACGAGCTCCTTAAGAATGTATGTCGATCGGTACCGCATGTATGCCTCGCATGGCACTGTACTTTCAACCACGGTAATCACCAAGCTCTGTTGTCTAATTGCAGGCGGAAGAACTCGCGAAGAAGGGGTCCGACGCCGACGTTGCTGCCGTGCATTTCTGGCGCACCCTCCTGATGTTCCGCCGCATTGTCGCCGAGGACCTCGTTGTGAAGCTCGTCCGCACGCCTTGGCACCCGTACGTCCAGTATTCCAAGCTCTGCCGGATTCCCCTCTTCCAGCACTGGGCGAAGAGGGTGGAGAAGACCGACACCGAGACCATCAAAAAGCGGCAAGACCCAACCCTCATCCAGCCAGAGGTGAGTCATCTTTATGTCGACATCGCCATGAGCACTGTGCCCGATGACCCCAACTCACCTGCACTGTTATTCGCCGACCATTGCAGGAGATATCGGTCTGCCATGACGCCCAGTACGTGGTCGTCTCCCTCACAACGACGCTGAAGCTCGAGAGGGAGCGGTCAGCGGTCGAGAAGATCGACCTCGAGGAGAAGCTCGAGCAGCGCGACGCTACCATCGCGTCGATGACGGACGAGATAACCCGCCTCACCGAGGCTCTCCGCGTTTCAGAAGCTCGTAGGATGCCGGAGGCGCCGCCAGCTGCGAACGACCAGTCGCCGAGCGACGGTGGCTCCGCGGAGTCGGCAAGCAGGGGTGACGGAGCCAAGAAACCCAAAAAACCCCCACAGACGGTCGAGGAGGCTAGCTACGAGCTGAACGTGGTTCAGCCTTGGCGGAATGCAACGACCGTGAGGGACGCGTGGCGCCTCTGGACCTCGTGCACCAGCGCCGACACCCGTCGTCTGTGCGACAGGTTCTTCGAGCCGGGATTCGTCGACCGCCACACCCTCCTCGACGGAGCCTCGCAGGGAGCACACGGGACGAGGGTGCGCCGCATGATGAAGGTCATCGATGCCGTGAGGGAGCTTCGCAGGAGCGACGGCGAAGCCGACACGGAAGCCGTCGTCGACGCGCTTAACACGATAGCGGCGCCTGGCATTGGGACCTTCTCGGATGCCCTCACGGTGCTCAATAAGGGAAACAAACCGATCTATGCCGGACAGGGTAAGGGCGTCAAGGGGCTCGGCAAGACGGACTATTCCAAGCTTCGTCTCGCCTGTGCGCTCGTGGCGCGCGGGTTCAAGCCGGAAGACTGGGTCTCCCGCCTGTTCCCGGACACATGGGAGGAGCAGATGAAGAAGGCGTTGGCCGACCTGGCCCGCGAAAACGACGCCGGGCAAGCTCCTCCGACCAAGAAGTCGGCCAATCGCAAGAAGACCGCGTGAATGCTCACAAGCAACATGCGATTGTGGGCTGTTGCATGTTGTAGTTGTTGTTCCAGCATGCATGTGATTCGTACTGATAAGGTTGTCGACTTTGTGTTTCTCACAATGATTCTGTCGTTCAAACAAAGCATCATTCCCCATTTATGAAGTAGACAATCAAGTTGACAATCACATCATTCGGGTTTAGGGTAAGCATCCTACGTATAGTCAACAATCACATCATTCGCAAGTAGACAATCATTCATCAAGTAGACAATCACATCATCCTACGTAAAGTCGACACGCATGCACACAACGAAACACAAACATGTAGCATCTAAGGGATCCGACAGACGAAACACACAAGACCGATATCGACCATACCAACATCCAATCCTAGCAAGCCGTCGACCTAGCCCAACATGTTCCCCTCGCCGACTACGCCGCCCTGCTGTCCTTGGCCTTCTTCGCCTTCGGGCCCTTCTTCCCCGCGCTGTCCTTGGCCTTCTGGCCCTTCTTCCCCGCGCTGTCCTTGGCCTTCGTCCCCTTCTTCCCCGTGCCGCCCTTGGCCTTCGTCCCCTTCTTGCCCCTCTGACCCTTCCTCCCCCTGTTGTCGAGGTCAGCCTTCATCTGCGCGTCAATCGGCACCGCGATGCCCCTCGCTTTGAGTTTCGGCCCGGCGACGGGGCACATTCCCCAGAACGCCATCGTCTCGACCGTCGCTCTTGCGATCACCACGGCATCGACTCCAGCATTCCCCCCAGGATAAGCCCTATCAAGGGCGGTCCTCTGGAGTGCTGGCGCGACGTTGTAAGCAACCTCTCCCAGGGGGCGGTCCCTGTTGATCTCGGCGTTCAGCACCGCCTCCATGACTTTGCCGAATACATCGGCGGTCTGCTGGCTCGCTCCGCCCAAAAGCGCCGCCGCCTTCCCTTCCTCCACAGCATCCTCCACCTTGGCATCGCCGTTCTCGACGAAGCACCACACAGCGCATGCGGATGCTCCTAACGCCCATGCCGCCATATCCGTCTTCTCGTCGCTGTCTCCCTCCTTTCTCGCCGCTGTCGCAGCGGTCTTCCCATACGCCGCGCTCATTGCCACGCGACCTATCATCGCCGACATCATGGACGCCGACTTTTCCCGGCCCTCCTTGGTGTTGGGATCGACTTGGTACCATACGGCTGGCAGGAGCGTGGCGAGCAGACCATCGCCTGTGGACTTGTAATGGCGATACTTGTCGAGGATCTCATTCAGCCTGTCACGCGAGCACGTCAAATAGGGCGAACATTAGTGACCACGACAACGACATCATCACTTGCGTCGACTTTGGGCAGGGGGATTGCCGACTTACCGGGTCTTTGGAAGAAGAGTACCCCGGGCCCACATCACCGTCCACATCCCGGTCGGCAAGATCCTGACCTCCTCCCACACCTCCTTCCACCTCTCCAACTCGGCGCTGTCCAGGACGGTGAGCTCGTTCATGAGCACCTTGCTCACGAAACCGTCGTAGACGACGAACGCGATGGAGTGCACGTACGCGAGCTCCATCTTCTCACGCGACTTGCCGATGTATCGATTGATGCCGTGCACCTTAATCTCGCCGACCCACCCTTGCTTGTCGCCCGAGGTATCGTGTCGGATGTCATGACCCCTCCTCTCCTTGCCCTTCCCCTCCTCTTCCTCATCCTCCTCCTCCTCCTCCTCCTCCTCCTCTTCCTCCTCCTCTTCCTCCTCCTCCTCCTCCTCCTCCTCTTCTTCCTCCTCCTCGACCACCTCCACCTCCTCGACGTCCTCCTCCTCCTCCTCCTCCGCCTTCCTCTTTCCCTTTCTCGCCTTCGACGAACCCTCGCCGACCGCCTTCTCCTTCCCCTTTCTCCCCGTCGACGTACCCTCGCCGAGCGACATCTCCCCCGTTTTGCCGCCACCATATTTGTCCGCCGCCGTTTCCGCCGCCTTCATCTCCGACTTCTCCCGAGACTTCCTCTGTGAGCCCGCCTTCCCCTTCCGTTTCGCCTTTCCATCGCCGACAGCATCACCGGTCGCACTAGGCTCTGCTGGACTGCCGACGGGAACCGCCGAAGGCTCCACATGTGCCGTGTCGGAGATTGCCAGAGTTCGGGGCATGGCTGCATCCAGATGGGCCTGTATGGCTGCGATATCCGCGTCTGGGGGCGTCTGCTCGACGGGGCCGCCACCGGTGGCCAGGGCGGCACGAACGCCCTTCTCCGCCGCCTTCTCAACCTCAGCTGCCACAGGGGTGGGTGGTGCGACATACACCGACGACGGCTTGGTGCCAGAGCCTGATGCCTGCTGGGTTGGCGCGGTCGACACTAGCGCGCTTAGCTGGGCGCGAAGCAACACGTATTTTGGGTCAGCAGGAGTACGGGCGGCGACGGCCGGCACTGCCCGTGGCACACTCGCCGAGGGGACGTCGAAAGCTGGGGGAGGCTGTTGAACAACCTTGTGGCCGGCAAGGAGCCTGAGCTGCTCCTTGAGCGCGTCCGCAACTGCCGCCCCTTTCCCCGCAACGTCGGCAGGTCGCCCGGCAGACGGTGCGGCCGGAGGGCGTGCACCCGCGGGAGGCTGGTGAGGAACCGCCGACGCCTCCGCGACCCCGGCCGTCGGGCCCTTGCCAGTTTTCGCGGCCCCGCCTGTGGCCGTTTTGGCAGCCGCCTTGTCGCTCTGCCCTTTCTCACCGCTACCCTGTCGAGGTGGCTTCTCGCCGACCGAAGGCGGAGCCATTGGCCGTGCGTCATCAGCGGCATGCTCGTCGGCGGGACCCCCATCACCCTTCCCTGTGCTCGTCGCTCGAACCTCTGCCCAGTGCTTCTTGAGCATGTCGAGCACGCTCTTCCCCGACTGCTTCCCCGAACTGCCGTCGCCGGCTCCTTTGCTCCCGTCGCCGGCGCCGCGACTACTCCCTGCTCCCTTGCCCTGCCTCGCCCTCGCCGAATCGTCGACGTGGCCTCCCCCGCCGCCTCCCTCACCGGCCCCCTTGCTCCCGTCGCCGGCGACGCGACTACCCCCCGCTCCCTTGCCCCGCCTCGCGCTCGCCGAGTCGTCTCCGTCTCCCCCCCCGCCGCCTCCCTCTCCGGCCCCTTTGCTCCCGTCGCCGGCGACGCCACTACCCTCCGCTCCCTTGCCCCGCTTCCCGTTCGCCGAATCGTCTCCGTCTCCCCCCCCGCCGCCTCCCCCCCTCTTATGACCCTACCTCTGGCCGGCGTCGTTTGCCGACGGCAAAGACCCACGCCGAGCAGTCGCCACCGTGCCGACCACCTCGGTCATAATCTTCTATCCGGAGGCGAGGAAGGACTGCTGCGTGACCTCCGTCACCGCCTTCAGCAAATCCGCCTTGAGGGAATCCAGGAACTCGGCCGACAAGGCCTGCGCTGGGGCGGGCGGCGGCGGCTGCTGCACGACGAGACGGGGAGCGACGGCGGCGGCAATGTTGGTCTGCGCGGCGGTGATGTATTTAATGACCGTCTCCTCCAACCCCTTCCTCGCCTCACCCACCTCAAACGTCACGTGGTCGACCACAGTGTCCACCGCGGTGGCGCGTGCGACCGCGAATCGTCCCTCGGGGGCGTCCAGATCCAGCAGGAGCTGCCTCGCTAGCTCGGCGAAGCGCTTGCCCGATTGAATTGCGCTGTTCATGTTGTCGGTGAGGCCCTCGGTGATTTCCGCCGCCATGGTCGACGTGGCCTCGTTGAGGCGCTCCACCGATTTCCGGTCGGTGTCGGCGACCTGGGCGGTCAAACCCTTCAGCTTCTCGAGGAGCCCAGCAACGGCCGCCGCCAAGCTGTCGACCCGCCCCGTCTGCTCACCGAGCCGCCGTTCAAGGCGTGCATTTTCGGCACGCAATCGCCTGTTCTCCGCTCTCAGCTGCTCGACGACGTCGGGCGGCGCCTGCCGCCCAGCAGCGGTGGAACCGGGATGACCGCTCGCCACCTTCTTCCTCCTAGACCACTCCCCCCCGGCCTTCTCTGCGGTAGCATCGGTGTGCACTTCCACGCCCTTCTGCTTCTGGGCCGCGGCGTTATCCCCTTCACCTACCTCGACCATCCCAATTGTCAGAATGTTATTCTCTAGCCTGTAGTGGGGTGCTCTATAGCGAGTACAACCCATCTAGGGTTTGCTATATGTATCCTCATTGCTGCTAGTGAACCTCCTCTTTTGCCTAAACTTTCTCTTGCCTAGCTAGGGTTCTCCTAGCTATGGCTCCTGCTTATGCTTACTCTCTTGACATGGTAACAGAGCCTTCACGCTCCTGGCCTGTGGGCCCCACTGCTGCTTCCGCTGCCCTACTCAGTGTCGCGCGCCCCGTGGCGCGCGACCTTCACATTTTCATCCCGCCGCGCGCTCGGGGCGTGCGGCGGTTTTCTCCCCGCCGTGCGCACCGAGGCGCACGGCGGTTTCCTACCGTGGGGGACGCCCGCGGCCCCCCGATCCCGTCGCCCGCGGCCCTCCGGTCCCGTCGCCCGCGGCCCCGCGATCCCGTCGCCCTGGGGAGCCGCACGCGACCCCCCGCGGCCCCGTTTTCCCGTCGTGCCGCCCTGGGGAGCCGCGCGCGACCCCCCGCGGCCCCGATTTCCCGTCGTGCCGCCCTGGGGAGCCGCGCGCGACCCCCCGCGGCCCCGATTTCCCGTCGTGCCGCCCTGGGGAGCCGCGCGCGACCCCCCGCGGCCCCGATTTCCCGTCGTGCCGCCCTGGGGAGCCGCGCGCGACCCCCCCGCGGCCCCGATTTCCCGTCGCGCCGCCCTGGGGAGCCGCGCGCGGCCCCTCTCTGCCCCGTGGTCGCGTTCTGGGGGCCGAGCGCCGTCCCCCTCGCCGTCCCCCGCGCTCCTTCCCCCGTTCCGCCCGTTTTTAGGGTTTTGGGGTGCGGAGTGTGGGGGTGGCAGCTCTGGGGGTGCCGTGTGTGTGCGCCGTCCCCTGCTCCTCCTCCTCCTCCGTCTCCCACTGCTGCAGCTGCCGCTGAGGGGGGTGGATGTGTGGGAGCCGAGGTTTAGGGTTTAAGGGGGGTGCCGTGGAAGTGGAGCTAGGGTGTCAGCAGGGGGTGTGTGAGAGGGGCGTGGGACGGTCGGGGGAGGTTGAGCGGAGGCTGCCGTCTTGTCGTCAGCAGCACCTGTAGTCCGGGGCGCTGTTCCGGTAGCCCAGTCGTAGCCAGCTGCGCCAGTCGCCCGTGGGTCCGTTGCTCGTCTGCCGCTCTTCTTAGCCGCGGAGCCAGTTACTCCTGTAGTCCGGGGCGCTGTTCCGGTAGCCACTGTGCCAGTTTGACTCCTGTTGCCCGTGTGTCTGCAGCTTCAGCCGTCGCCTCTCATCTTCTCTCCTTCCACAGTTCCTCCTCCTCCTCACTTGCCCTTTGTGAATGCCTCTAGCTTTGCTTGCACTTGTGAACCTGCTTTCTACCTGCTTGCTCATTGTACTGATTACACCCCACTTTGGCTATGGGGGTGTGTCAGAATGTTATTCTCTAGCCTGTAGTGGGGTGCTCTATAGCGAGTACAACCCATCTAGGGTTTGCTATATGTATCCTCATTGCTGCTAGTGAACCTCCTCTTTTGCCTAAACTTTCTCTTGCCTAGCTAGGGTTCTCCTAGCTATGGCTCCTGCTTATGCTTACTCTCTTGACACCCAATCCCCCCGTGAGCCGCCTCCACGCCGACCTCGCCGAGATCCGCCGTCGTACCCTTTCCCTCCCCTTCGTCGTTCTCCACATCCGCCGATCTCCCACCCGTTTCCGCCGCTCCTTCTGCAACGTTCCCCTCCGCCATTTCCACGTCCACCACCTCTACGCCCTGCTCCTCGTCTTGCTGCTCCTCCTGGGGCTGCCTCTCTCGCTCCTGCGTCTCCTGTCCCTGCTCCTGCTCCTCCTCCGACTCCGACCCCGACACCGACTCCTCCGAGCCCCCCTCAACCTCACGTTCCTCCTCACGATGCTGGACCCCATCATCATCCCCGTGATCAGTCTCGTCCTGGTGCTTCTCCTCGGTCCCGGCCACCCCATGTCCTGCTGCCGCATCGGCCTCGTCGACGCCGCTACCCGGCTTCCCGACCGAGGTGCCAGGCTTCCCGGCCTCGTCGACGCCGCCACCCCGCTTCCCGACCGAGGTGCCAGGCTTCCCGGCCTCGTCGACGCCGCCACCCCGCTTCCCGACCGCTGGGGCACCTCCGCCAGCTTGGGGCGCCGACTGAACCTCCTCGCCGTCGTCGTCACAGACGTCGGCCGCAACTACGTTTCGGCCCGACCGTATGAGCGCGACCTGCTTCTTGATGAAGGCTACCATCTCGATGCGCAGCCCCTTCAACCCCGCAACAGCGACCTTGTCCATGCTGGTGGCACTGCGACGGAGGGCGCCGGCCAACCGATCCTTCCGCCTCACAGCCCAGAGCAACGCGCTCATTGCTAGCAGGCCGGAGCCCGCGTCCCCGTCCCGGACGGTGTCGGGCACTTTCTGCATACAGCAGAGGAGAGCGCTAATATGAGCACCGATATCGACATTCGCATCTCGCAAGGACAAATCGGCAGCTGCATCGCGCAAGGAAGTGACACCAAACCTTCGAAACTCATATCTCGAAGGGGTTCGTCGAAGTCGGCGAGCCTCGCATGCACCTCCTCCTCGGACGGCTTCGTCCACTCCCATTTCCTACCTTCGCGCCGAAGCTCGGCCATTACAGCCGCCCGGAAAAACCTGCAAAGCATGGCACAGACGGTCAGTTAGCACGGTGCACGCTCCGCATTGACAACGCAAGCGGCGTCGACTACACTATTGAGCTCACTCCAGCACGCGTTTCGCCTCTTTGATGTGCCACTCCTTCACAGTCTGCGGGTCGGCGTGCCGGATCGAGGTCCTGATCAACTGGCCCGATGCCTTCAACAAGTCGCCGGGGCACAGGATGATAATGACGCTGCAATGTGTTCCCGGAAGCGGTGCGATGCTGCACAGACAATGGACGTCGACATAGATCAGAACACATAATCGACGCAGGTTGCACCACACGCGCGACGACCCCGAACCAGCTCACCTCGATATCAGTGGGATAACCGCCACGTCGGCGTCAAAAACCTTCGCGAAGACGGTATGGTCCTTCCGACCCATCGCCGCCCTAAGGCGGCCGACACCTATCGACCACAGCCGCTGGTCCTTCTCCGTTCCGCGCAACCATGCGTGCCTGCACGCATGCATGATCAGGAGGAGTGCGTGAGGATGTGGTCGGGACGCCGGCAGATACTACGGTTGCGGCAATAACACGACGCATCGCCTACGCCGACCAGACACCTAACCTCGGCGCCACCTATGTTATCGACATCCATAATCCCTAAACCATGAGTCCGTCGACCTAAATGATGGGTATTATGAGACCACGCTAGGGCTATCGCCAGCATGAAATAACGACGCCGACATCCCTATAAGTCACTCACTTGAGGCCGAGTCCCAAGCAACGGGCGTTAAACTCTAGCATAGGGTTTGTCAGAACGGCGTAGTCGTGTTCCTCGAACTTGGATGTGAGTCCTCTACCGACGCTTAGATACAGGGGGAAGTCGCGCGAGGTCGGCGTCGCTTCGTCGGCTTTCTGGTCGGCCGCCATGGCGGGAGAGCGAGGATGCTATGCTACGGGCTAAGGGAAGAAACGGTGGGAGAATGGAAGGCGCAGAGGTGGGAAAAGAACATGAAAGAGAAACGAGAACGCGAAAATGAAGGGACACACCACCTCCAACGAAGAAAAGCCAGGCGGAGCCTCGCAGGCCCGGTTGAGCGTCGCCCAGGGGGCCGTGGTCCCTGGCTCGGCAGGGCTCATGCACAAGTGGCGTGGCACAAGTGCACCCTCGCCGCCGAGCCAGCAGGTCGACGTCACGTCCCCTGGCCTCGGTCGGCCAGGGGACGCAAATTCGCATGCACGCGGTGCGACGTTTCGGCACCACGTGTCGATTTCGCAGCGGGTCGCGAAAATTGTGCGCCTTGGTGCGAGAGACCCAGAGCTTCGCTCGAATTTCGGCGGGTACGAAATGTCGCATGCATGGAAAAAAAACGATGCGAAACGACGGGAGGGCACGTGGCGAAACCGCAACGGGTCGCGAAATTGTCCAGCGTCCCGAGAAGAGACCCCTAATTTCGCACGGGCCTCGCCTGCCCGTACGGGCAGGCCGCGATGGGTTACTAGGACCTCGCGGGCAGGAGGGACGGGTGGGCTGCCTTCGCGCCGGGGTTACTTTCCCTCGCGCGAGGTCTCGCCAGCTCGCCGCCCCCACCCGGTAACGTGGGTCGCTGTTCACATTCGGGGGGGGGTCCGCGGGGCGGCGGTCGTGCGCTCGGCCCAGCCCTGGGCCAGGCTGGCGGGCCCGCACGCGCGTCAGTCGCCCGCCTCGTCGGGCCCCCTTCCGTCGACCCCCCTCGTCGACCCTGGCAATTCGGCTCCGTCGACCGAATTCCGCTGGGATCTTCAGCATAATAGAGCTCAGCGGACGAAAAATGCCGCCCAATTTCGCGGGCCAGAACGGACAACCCCCCTCCTCGGGGTTGTCGACCCCACGACGACCACCGCGTGGAAAGCCCAGGTGAGCTGCCTCGGCCCAGCGCTGGTGACCCCTCGGGATTGTCGACGACCTGTCGACCTTGGGTTCCGCTGAGACAATCCCGAGAAGGTCGTCTCAGCCGCGTGACGTCATCCCAGCTCGGCTCGTCGGGCCGCGATGATCGCCACGCGGCCAAAAAAGGACGTGCGAGATCGACCCCTGGATGGCGGGGCCATCGAGGTCTGCCAGGGTGGCCACGACGGGCCAACGGAGGGTCGGGGTGGTTCGCGTGGGAAAATTTCGCGCCCAGGCGTGGCCAGGTCGGTGCGTACCACACGGCCATCATCCAACGGTTGGTTGCTCACATGTCTTAGGCGAAATCGGACCGTCCACTACCTCTGGCTAGGTGCACTGGATGCTGATGCGGCGGGAATGTCGGCGTCGACCAGAAGGTCTTCGTCGTGATGCCACGCGGCATTCTATCCCGCCCTCGAACTGCACCCAGCTTAGGACCACGCCACGTACCGCACGATAGAGCCAGCGTGTAACACCCGTGAAAGGCGCATCACATGCGAAGCGCTTCAAGCAAGCAGCCATGCACGCCCGGTGCCACGTCGGTCACGGCGCCGCCGCACGAGCGTACATGCATAGCTGCGTCCTGCACAGGGGTTTGCGTGGAGCGCCAAGTGGAGCGGAGTCGCTCACGACCATACCAATCTGGGCTCCCATTGTAGGTCGCTCATTCTGCCTGCCGTTCTGCGTGCGTTTCATCCGTTAGCTGGCACTTAGATTTTTTTGGTCGTTCCCGTGTCGGCACACGTGGAACGTCGGCGTCGTCAGAATAGTCAGACGTCGGGGCCGCCGTCTCGTAGTGTTGTCTGCGATGCCGACCTGTCAGATGCCACCGAGTTAGAAACGCCATGTTGCATTTCACCGACCTCACCACACCGACTTCCCATCGCGAGACCCTAGGTCGCGGTATCATGGCCGGAGCACAGCCTCGCTCGACACCGCCGCAACCGCAGCCACCACCCGCCGACGTCGACATGACGGACGTCCCAAACCCCGCTAGCCAGGCTGAGGATGTCCCCCCGGTAGACCGTACACCGACCAGTAACCCCTCGTCGACGCTGCCCCTGCTTTACGATCTCGACGCCCTGGCCCAAATCCCGAAGGGAGAGTTCACCAAAGACATTCCGCCCGCACCCATAGGGGAGTTCACGAAACCACGCAAAGACACGTCGGCGCCCACAAATGCAGAGGAGGCCGGGCCGTCGTCGGTGCCGGACGGAGCGGGCGACCAGGATGAGGGAATGGAAGACTATTCCTCGGCGAGCGACGAGGACGACGACGCCGACCCGCGGCCCCAACGTGGCAGAGGTCCGAAGACGTTGGAAGAAAAGCTCAGGTCGGAACGTGCGCTGATTGAGGAACTTCTGGACGAGGACGAGCTAGAGGATCTGCTGAACGCGTCTGTCCCTCGAGAACAGTGGAAGGCGGCCGACTTCGTAGAGGAAGATATGGTGTACGCGTGCGTCGACGTGCTCGTGATGGAGGCATTGCGCCACCTGAAAACCATCGAGGCTAAGAGCACGCTCCAGTCCTACATCTCATGGATCTACCACTACAAGAGGTGGGCGGCAAAAATGCTCAAAGAGATAGGCGACAAGCTGCCGATCGGGGAACGAACTAGGCACGTCGACGAGATCGGGCACTGGATCCACTGCAACAAGAGCAAGGATTGGGACAACCCGAAGGTGGTCAAACGGAAGCACATCTGGCTGCACGGCCCCAAGGTCACTCCGACGCGGCTGCGCGCCTACGTCAAGTTCATGAGGCGGGAGTTCAAGATCGACGCCGAGACGAACGCGCCGGTGCCGTCCTACACGGTGCACATGATCCTCGGCCGCATCAAGGCATGCCAGATGGCGGCGAGGGTGGAAGCGACGCTGTACAAGGAGAAGGAGTTGGGCATCATGCGGGAAATCTCGGTGGTCCGGTCGGAGGTGCGGGTCATGGTCCGCACCAAAAACCAGAGGGACATCAAGTAAGTTGGCATGAAGCGCCGTTTTCATGTCGGTGTCGATTTGTTCCCATCGCCCTAATAATCCTACCGCCGTATTGTTCTGTCGACAGTAATTGCGCCGACCGTCGACGCGGCACCATCGGCGACACATACACCGCCGAACAGTTCCGCCAGATCATGACGAGGGTGCTGCCGGCTTGGGCGGCGTCGGCATGGGCCCCGCATTTCACCACTCCTTCGCAGACGCTGTGGAGGTTTCTTCTCGTCAAGGTGCTCACGCTGCTCTCCCACCACAGCCTCATGCGCGGTGCAAGCATCCGCGAGATCACGCTCCCCGACATCTTCTTGTACCGACTGGCGAGCACCTCGTCGGTGAACCCGGATAACCAGCCGGTCGTCATGGTGGTCGCCGCGCGGAACTCGAAGACGTCGAAGGATGCGCGTCTTCAGCAGAGCTATGCGGCGCGGCACCTTGAAGCGGAATTGTGCGCCGTCGGCGAGACCGGACTGTGGCTACACTTCATCCTCGACCAGATCGGCCAGTTTCACGGCGTCGGCGTCATCCCGCCGGTCGACACCAGCACACGCGAGCGCTGGTACAAGAAGCACCTGTTCTTCGCCCGCAACGACCCCGAGCAGGGCGAACTCTCCGCTGCCAGCCACCAGCGATGGACGAGGCAGATGTGGAAGACGAACGGGGTGTTCTGCAAGCGGAACGTCCATGCCGCTCGGGCAGGCGGGGCGCAGGAGCTGGCCATCAACGGTACGCCTCGCGCCGAGATAGCCGAGCTGGGTCACTGGGCTCTCGACAAGATGACTCGAGCCTACATCACAGCCATTCCCGTCGGCGTGGTGATGAAGAAGGCCGGCTATTCGGGCTACACGCAGGACTACTTCTTGGGGCGCAGCAGGGTGGAACCGTCGGACGAGCTTCTCAAGCTCATCGCCGAGCACATCTTCCCGGCGTTGACGAGCTCCTTAAGAATGTATGTCGATCGGTACCGCATGTATGCCTCGCATGGCACTGTACTTTCAACCACGGTAATCACCAAGCTCTGTTGTCTAATTGCAGGCGGAAGAACTCGCGAAGAAGGGGTCCGACGCCGACGTTGCTGCCGTGCATTTCTGGCGCACCCTCCTGATGTTCCGCCGCATTGTCGCCGAGGACCTCGCTGTGAAACTCGTCCGCACGCCTTGGCACCCGTACGTCCAGTATTCCAAGCTCTGCCGGATTCCCCTCTTCCAGCACTGGGCGAAGAGGGTGGAGAAGACCGACACCGAGACCATCAAAAAGCGGCAAGACCCAACCCTCATCCAGCCAGAGGTGAGTCATCTTTATGTCGACATCGCCATGAGCACTGTGCCCGATGACCCCAACTCACCTGCACCGTTATTCGCCGACCATTGCAGGAGATATCGGTCCGCCATGACGCCCAGTACGCGGTCGTCTCCCTCACAACGACGCTGAAGCTCGAGAGGGAGCGGTCAGCGGTCGAGAAGATCGACCTCGAGGAGAAGCTCGAGCAGCGCGACGCTACCATCGCGTCGATGACGGACGAGATAACCCGCCTCACCGAGGCTCTCCGCGTTTCAGAAGCTCGTAGGATGCCGGAGGCGCCGCCAGCTGCGAACGACCAGTCGCCGAGCGACGGTGGCTCCGCGGAGTCGGCAAGCAGGGGTGACGGAGCCAAGAAACCCAAAAAACCCCCACAGACGGTCGAGGAGGCTAGCTACGAGCTGAACGTGGTTCAGCCTTGGCGGAATGCAACGACCGTGAGGGACGCGTGGCGCCTCTGGACCTCGTGCACCAGCGCCGACACCCGTCGTCTGTGCGACAGGTTCTTCGAGCCGGGATTCGTCGACCGCCACACCCTCCTCGACGGAGCCTCGCAGGGAGCACACGGGACGAGGGTGCGCCGCATGATGAAGGTCATCGATGCCGTGAGGGAGCTTCGCAGGAGCGACGGCGAAGCCGACACGGAAGCCGTCGTCGACGCGCTTAACACGATAGCGGCGCCTGGCATTGGGACCTTCTCGGATGCCCTCACGGTGCTCAACAAGGGCAACAAACCGATCTATGCCGGGCAGGGTAAGGGCGTCAAGGGGCTCGGCAAGACGGACTATTCCAAGCTTCGTCTCGCCTGTGCGCTCGTGGCGCGCGGGTTCAAGCCGGAAGACTGGGTCTCCCGCCTGTTCCCGGACACATGGGAGGAGCAGATGAAGAAGGCGTTGGCCGACCTGGCCCGCGAAAACGACGCCGGGCAAGCTCCTCCGACCAAGAAGTCGGCCAAGCGCAAGAAGACCGCGTGAATGCTCACAAGCAACATGCGATTGTGGGCTGTTGCATGTTGTAGTTGTTGTTCCAGCATGCATGTGATTCGTACTGATAAGGTTGTCGACTTTGTGTTTCTCACAATGATTCTGTCGTTCAAACAAAGCATCATTCCCCATTTATGAAGTAGACAATCAAGTTGACAATCACATCATTCGGGTTTAGGGTAAGCATCCTACGTAAAGTCGACAATCACATCATTCGCAAGTAGACAATCATTCATCAAATAGACAATCACATCATCCTACGTAAAGTCGACACGCATGCACACAACGAAACACAAACATGTAGCATCTAAGGGATCCGACAGACGAAACACACAAGACCGATATCGACCATACCAACATCCAATCCTAGCAAGCCGTCGACCTAGCCCAACATGTTCCCCTCGCCGACTACGCCGCCCTGCTGTCCTTGGCCTTCTTCGCCTTCGGGCCCTTCTTCCCCGCGCTGTCCTTGGCCTTCTGGCCCTTCTTCCCCGCGCTGTCCTTGGCCTTCGTCCCCTTCTTCCCCGTGCCGCCCTTGGCCTTCGTCCCCTTCTTGCCCCTCTGACCCTTCCTCCCCCTGTTGTCGAGGTCAGCCTTCATCTGCGCGTCAATCGGCACCGCGATGCCCCTCGCTTTGAGTTTCGGCCCGGCGACGGGGCACATTCCCCAGAACGCCATCGTCTCGACCGTCGCTCTTGCGATCACCACGGCATCGACTCCAGCATTCCCCCCAGGATAAGCCCTATCAAGGGCGGTCCTCTGGAGTGCTGGCGCGACGTTGTAAGCAACCTCTCCCAGGGGGCGGTCCCTGTTGATCTCGGCGTTCAGCACCGCCTCCATGACTTTGCCGAATACATCGGCGGTCTGCTGGCTCGCTCCGCCCAAAAGCGCCGCCGCCTTCCCTTCCTCCACAGCATCCTCCACCTTGGCATCGCCGTTCTCGACGAAGCACCACACAGCGCATGCGGATGCTCCTAACGCCCATGCCGCCATATCCGTCTTCTCGTCGCTGTCTCCCTCCTTTCTCGCCGCTGTCGCAGCGGTCTTCCCATACGCCGCACTCATTGCCACGCGACCTATCATCGCCGACATCATGGACGCCGACTTTTCCCGGCCCTCCTTGGTGTTGGGATCGGAAAATAATTTTATTCTTCCGTCTCACTAGGGCGGAAGCTTTCCACCAGGGGGGGAGAATAAGGACAGAAGACAGCGCGGAACCAATTTTAAGCGGTGTTCTTGTCGCTGCTGTAAAACTCATGCGTCTCGGTTTCTGAAATTATAACCCTACAACGTTGACAGAACCCCCGTTGACCTGCACTGAAATTTTAACGGGGCCTAACACAACCCTCGTTGACAACCGCGCCTCCCCGTCGTCGAATGTGAGCTCTGCAGAGGCGTCGACGGAGACTGACATCTTTGGCACACGACCGGCCGGTTCCTCGTCGATGAACCGCTAACGCAACTTGTTGATGTAGGAATGCTCATGAAGCCACAGCTTCCTCGCTAGTCGATCGCGCACAATCTCCAGCCCGAGGTACTTCTTGACCAGATTGATTTCGTGCAGCTCCAGCAGCTCTTTTAGCTCCTTTAGCATCGCGAGGCTGCTGTTGGCGGCGAGGAGGTTGTCGACGTAGACGAGCACCTAGCATGCTACTTCCTCGTTGCCGACCTTGAAGTAGAGGGCCTCATCGATCTGGCTCCTCTGCTAGTCAACGCCGGCCAACACTACGTCGAGCGTAGGGTACCAGAACAGCGACGACTGCTTCAGCCCGTAAAGGCTCTTCAACAGTTTGCACACTCGGCCAGTCCTGTCGTTGTGGTAGCCAGGCTGGTATATGTAGAGGACACGGTATAGTTTGCTCTGCAGAAATGCATTCTTTATGTCGAGCTGCATCAGATGTAGGCCAAGGATGGCTACAATGCTGAGGTAGGTGCACTGAGTGATGTAGCTTCCCACCTGCGCATGTGTCTCATCGTAATCTTGAAGCCTTTCAGAACCAGGCGTGCCTTCTCACAAACGACCGTATCGTCGACATGGTACTTCGTCATGAGCACCCAGCGGACACCACGCGGACGCTCGACCAGCTCCCACATCCCATAGGGGACACGACTCTTGATCTCCTCGTCCATGGCAGCATTTACTGCCTTTGCCCTTCCAGCTCGCCAACGCCTCCTTCACCGTCATATTGGCAATGTCTCAACGGCGTGCATGTCGGTGTCGAGCTCGGGCAGGTCGACGTTGCAACGTCGCGTCTTCACTTCGTCGATCGGGACCTCTACCACGTCGCTGTCGTCGGACTGCTCCCCTGCCGACAGCTCCCCTTTCTCGCCACCAAGGACTTCTACGACGTCGCTCGATTCGCCATCGACGAGTTGATCCACGATTGTTGGCTCCTCCGCCAATTTCTCCTCTTCAATTGGCTTCTTTGCCGATTTCGTTTCAGTCGTTGGCTCCAGTGCTAACCTCGCCTCTACGGGCATCGCCAAATTCTCCTCTACCGCTATCAGCTTCTGCTCGTGGCCGCCGAGGTGCATCTCATCTCGTCGGCCGCAGGCGATGACACTGGCAGGCGCCAAAGGCGACGCAGCAATGCTCCCCTCATCACCGGTGGCCGACGTCGACGTCATCTTTGACTGATTAGCCACAACAGGTAGAGGGGAGGTAGAAGTGGGAGCAGTGGTAAGTTGGATGTCCTCGATGTTATCATCTTCAACGACAAGAGGGGTCGTCGTCGACGAGGGATCCGTCGGCGCGACAGCAGGTTTCCGCATCAAAACTGGGCCGTGCTCGGCCTTCCACACCTCCAGTGACATTTTTCCGTAGAAGATAGCCTCTACGGTCGCCAGCACCTTGTTTTCGGTGAGATCGAACTCCTCCTAGCCCTTGCTCTTTGGCGACACACCAAGACGAAGCCCCTAGCGGGCCTTCGGCGCCAGATTCCCACCGTGCCGCTGCTCGAGGACCATAAACTGCACCATGCAGGCCCATACGCGCGTCAGCGTTAGTTCCGGTTTCTTCTCAAACAGTAGCTCGTACGGCGTTGTCCCCGAAGGCAAAACGTCTGTTCGTGGCAATTGCGCACCCGGATGGCCTGTCGCAAAGCAAGGTGCCACAAGTGGAGCTTCACTCCCATTGACCGTTCGCATGGTCTCGACAACGGTACGCTTTTCCCGCTCTGCCATCCCGTTCTGCTGCGGAGTATAGGGGCATGTCAGGCTGTGGAGGATGCCTTTGTCATCGACGAAGTTGGTGAAGGCTCGACCGAGGAACTCCCGTCCATGGTTAGAATGCAACATTTGTCATGGTCTTCGACGTCTGCCACTTTACCACCTTCCACAACTTTTTGAAGATGACTAGCGCGTCGCTCTTCTTCGCGATCGGCCTGACCAATATGTAACAAGTCTTCCTGTCCTTCAGCAGGAGGAAATAGAGGCTGCCGTCCTTGGCTGCCACTCGAAACGGCCCGCAGAGGTCGATGTGCACCACGTCGAGTGCATTTTCGGCCTCCAATCCTTGGTCGGTGAAGGTGTGCCGAGCTTGCCGCCGACGCTTGAGGCACACGGTAGGTCAGCCCCGGTCGACGACCTAATGTCGAGGCTGAGGCGACTTCATGCTTCGCCAAATTCGTGACCGTGTCGATGCCAACGTGCGCGAGCCTTACATGCCACCTATCCAGCGGCGACTTCGCTGCGGAAGCAATCGTCCGCAGGGCCACCACCCCAGTCAACGTCGACTTCGACTCCGTCAAGCAGGGGCACAAGTTAGTGCAGAGAACCCTGCCGGTGTAGCACGCTCGACCGAGTACATCGCTCGAGGACGACACCAGCAGTATCTTGTCGCCGTCGTCCTACAGCTTCATGCCGTTGTCCCTGAGTTGGTTGGCCGATAGCAGATTCGCCTGCACGCCCGGGACGTAGATCACGTCAGGGAAAAAAAACTGCTTCCCGCTATTCCCTCGCAGAGCAACGGTGGCACGGCCTTCGATGTCCTGCAACGCCCTGTTGAAGCCACACACATGCTTGACGTCGTCCGCGACGAACGCCTCCTTCGTCCCCATTAAATAATGCGAACAACAACTGTCGAGCAGCACCACCATCCGGTTCCCTTGCACGGCCGCTGCGATCGCCTTAAAGTCCTCGCCGGCCTCCGGCGCCAGCGAGAGAATTGGTTGACCCTACGACGCCGACCATCGAGCACGACGCCTCCCCGTCGCCTCGACCTTTGTCGGCAGAAGAGTAGGCGTCATTCATCGACGACGTCGACTTTGACGTCTGCTTCTCTTTGCGCAGCTTGTTATCTCGACGAGGAAGACGACCAGCCAACCTTCCGCGGACGCCCTTGATGTTGTCCTCCTCGCTGTCACCGCGGTCAGAACTTTCGAAGGAGAGGTGGTAGGGGTCGCCACAGATCCAGCACTCCGACCTTAGACCGCCTCCACTTCGACTGTTGTCGCGAGCCGGCTTCGACCGGTCGGCATCCTTTGCCGAATTCCCACCACCGCTACCACCTCCGCCCTGCTTCCCGCATTGCCCATGCTGATGACTCTGCTTCGTCGGGGCGACGTAGTTTGCCTAAGGAAGGAGCTCCGTGGGCCTCTCTGCCTCTTGCATAGCCTCGTCCTTACTGATTGGACTCGTGAGGGTATCCTCGTTAAGCGACTCGTGCACACCGGACATCGCCATCATCCCCCGCATCAGAATATAGCCGCTTGGTAGTCCCTTGACAGTGTGTGTAATGTAGGACGCCGTCGTGTAGTTGACGCCCGCCATCCGCATGTCGGAGAGGATCCGTCGAGCACGGTTGTAGTAGTCTGTCGCCGACTCCTGCTCACCCATCGTAAGGTGAGTCATGCGCTCCTCCAGCTGGCCAATGAAAAGGTCGTCGATCGTCTGTTACGTCGACATGATGAACCGCCATGCCTGGTGGCCGGCGTCCAGTCGAAGTCGACAAATTTTCAGAGAGATCTGCACCATCGGCGAGCAGCAGCGAGAGATGACCATGGAGGTCAGCAAATGAGCAGCGCGGAATTTTGCCCGCAACTTGACATCGTCCTCGTCCTGTGTCACCACTTCGTCGTCGGCGAAACACTTCAGCCCGACGATTTCAAGCTGGGGCTCGATAGACTCCCTCCAGGTGATGAGGCCACGTCGACCTTCCAGCAGTCCGAGCACGGAGATCTTCTCCAACGATATTTCGTAGTAGCCGTAGGTCGGCGCGATTCCACCAGTCATCATGTGCGTAGAGAAGCTTGGCCACACCACTTCTTTGCGGGGAGTGACGTTGACTGTCAATGTCACCGTGCGAGCTGCGAGCGGCGGCCGTCAACCACTGCACTCACGCATGTATTCCGCCGACCTCGTCGTCGGCGGCCGTCCTGATAACTCCGCTCATCCTCCTCGTGCTCTCGTCGCGGCCGACTTGATCACCACCGTCGACCCACTCGTCAACGTTGCCTTCGTGCGTGATGGTCAGGGAGTGGTGATTAGTACGGGTTGTTGGGTAATCACACACCCACTGCATTCGGGTTTCAAGGAGCAAAACATCCATGTTCGCTTCGCCGTACTTGCCAGCCACGTGGCGTGCCCGAACATCATCTAATTGCGCCTACAAGGTATCCTCTACGCCTGCTGCGACTTCCTGCATGGCGGTCTAGACGGCTACCAGCCTACAATAACTTAGGTAAATGAAACGTCGGCTACTAGTCTGAAGGTACTTTACGGGGCCGTCCACGCTCACCGTATTGCGCCACAAGAGTCAAGCGAGCCCGTCGACCAACTCGACGATGCTTCGTCAAACAACGTCCGCCTAAATGAGCTCGTCGAGTAGAGCCCGTCGACCAATGCTCCTCGACGGGGCTCGTCGACCAGCGTCCTCTGCGAGCTTGTCAACCAGCGTCCTTTGCAAGCTCATCGGCAAGCGTCCTCTGCGACGATGCTCGACCAACACTTCCGCAGAACCTTGTCGACTAGACGGCTTCGTCGACCTTCGCGTCAAGTTCTGCGGGCAGTCGACATCGACTTCTGCGGCCGGTCAAAATCGACTCCTGCTCTCAGGTCGACGTCGA